GGTCGAGAAAACAGGATAACAATCGGCCAAGTGACAAGTAGTTGGAAAGGAATTAGTAGGTGCTGCCCACAAGGGTCATAGAATGATAATCAAAATGATCTCTTCTATGTTCAACAAGAGAGCCAGCTCTCAGTTTGTGCTGACAATGATCAGCTATACTATGCTCACAAGGATCCCGAACAAGTTGTAATAGGAATAAATAAGGATGGCAAACAAAATCTAGTTGGTACAGTAACAACTATCTTTTGGGAAACCTCAGTAAATATCAGGTCATGGTTGTATCCAAAGGCACTCCACAGTTAGCGGGGGAAATTGACTCTTGCAATGTTATATCCAAAGATGAGCTGAAGTCACTGGGGGTGACAATTGACAGGAATTTACATTTCACTGAACACATATCAGCAGCTTGTAAGAAAGTTGGCGTGGGTGTTGGTGTATTGATGAGGATGTGGAAACTAATTCCAGTGTAGGCCCAGTCGAGGATATTCTAGGCTGCTACTTCACCCTACCGGACATACTGTGGACTAGTATGGCACTTTTGTAGGAGTTTCAACAGTAGGAAACTAGAGCGAGTCAATGAGAGGGGCTTGAGAGCAGTATACTGTGATTTTAGTTCTCCATATGGTGAACTTCTCGCTAAGGCTCATCTTACGAGCTTGTATAAGAGGTGACTGCAGGACATAGCTATTCTAATGTTCAAGGTCAAACACAGGCTGCGGCCAGTAAACATTATCAACATTTTTAAGAACTCTCCTTCAGACTACAATCTTAGGAACTCAGACTTTTTCATCCACAGATACAATACACTAGGATTTGGGAAACACTCACTAAGATTTTTTGAGCCATACCTCTGGTCAAAATTACCTACCAAGGATAAGTCAATCGTATCATTAAATGCATTAAAGTCTAGTATAAGAAAAAGGGACCTGACCACCCCAGTGACTAAGACATACGCTGACTGTCATCTGTGTAAATCCTGATCTAATCGGTACTTATCAAAACACGTAATCATAACAATACTACTACTTATATACTGCAATTAGATAATATAGATATACAACAGAGTAGTATAGAATCCACAAAATAGACCTAACATTCACTTATTACAGAGTTTTAAAACATTTATAGTACACAGACATAATTTTATAAGTGCATAATGTACAGAATTTCACATTACACAAGATATAGTACACAATATATAGAATTTACAATATAGATCTAACTTTCATTTATCAGATACAGTTTTAATGCATTCATAGTATTTTTCTTACATTTGGTGGGTGGATAGATTTTTGGAATATACTATTGTAAACATCATATATAATATATGGACCATTACATAATATTCAAAGTATTTTTGCAATTCTCAAAATTATTTTTACAATCATCTTTACTACTACTGTACTAAACAGATTCACCCTTAGTTTCTGTTTGTTTTAACCATTTTGTTATGGTGTCTGCGATTCGTAAGCTACTTGTGCCGCCTAGCTAAAAGACTTAGACACTTAAATGAAGTTGTTGATTGATTGATTGATTATTTGAAATCAACTTAAGCTCATGGTCATTATCAATTAAATCAATTAAAAAAAATGAATCGTGATAACATTCCATTCAATGCATTGATAGTGGATACGAAGCGCGAGTAAACGCTCTCGGAGCGTCTACTTTCAACAGGTAAGTTGTCTTTAAAACATATTAAAGTTCACAAAGCAACCAGGTGGACAATCATAGACCCAACGTTTCGACACTCCTGTCCAGTGTCTTCATCAGGGGTGATGAAGGCACTAGACAGGAGTGTCGAAACGTTGGGTCTATGAATTATAACTTCTCGGTTACATTCATTAAATCTTAAAACCAGAGTAGCATCAAACCATGTCTGAGTGGTCTTTGTTGGTCTAGAAAAAAGCAATATGACAAGTGAAATGCAATTTATCCAGGATAAAAAACGTTGGATGCGATATAATTTTCAATAATGCATCCGAAAAGGTTGAAATCTTCCAGTATTAGCTTGGCTCAGGATACTCCTTTTCATGTGACGCGTGATTAGTTTAAAAAGTTATCCGTGATGCGTGATTTAAAATAAACATTCAGCGGGATGTGTGATTGGAACCCCCTTTTTTCAGTTTCCAGGATTAGGAAAAAAATGATCCTATCGCAAGCATGTTCATCATAACCCGAGCACTTAGTACGCCTCGAGATGTTGACGGAAGAAAAAGTGGCTCCATGGTTTGTAAGACAAGCCATTTCCTGAATTTCGAACTAATTGAGTAGAAAGCATGAAAACATAGCGCTAAAAAGAACCAGGACCAAACAATGAAATTCACTCCTCCTCAGTAGGACTCCATTTTACCCGTGAATTTGTTTACACTACACATTCGCGGTCCGTAATTTAATTCTCAGATGATTGACGGGTTCTCACATGACAATATTGTTAAAATCAAATTACTGCGTCTGACTTAGCGTAAACACGAACATCGCTAACTCACTCTCATGTAATTATCATTTTGGTTGAGGCTTTTACTATGTTCTTAGAGTAAAACAACACATCTTCGACAAAGCGCGATTTTTTTAAAGAATAAAGTAATCCCTGAGATAGTTAACTGAAGAGAGAATGATAGAAGCTTGTTCACGCCATTCACTATCATCTAACTGAAAACTTACTAGGCAAACTGACATAATTCGTAAGATAACTTCTTTTCCCTTTACACCACGACCGTATTAAACATTCCAAACGATAGGACAAGAAACAACTCGAAGAATACGAACACTCTGAAATGGTATTCGAGCGACGAACCGGCGCGGTGGTTTTAAAGCGATGAATGCCAAAGTCATTTTTGGAGCTCTTTGTATTTCCCTCTCACTTTGCTCTTCGCTAGATATTCGCCTTTTTACTTATGCCTTTTCTTGTTCTCTTTTGCGTTCCTTTCGTCGTATTCTGCTTATTTTAGCATCCTTTCTAACTCTCGTGCGCGTTTTTCTCGATTCGCTTTAGGCCTTTTACTTCTTACTTTCACTGGTCGCTTTGTCTCTTTCTTTCCAGTCTATTTTCACTCAAAACCCTCTCTCCACGAACTTGAATTATAACAATTTCCTCCGGTTGACAAAGCTTTGGCTCTGCCAGTATTGTTGATTAGAAATTGCAGAATACTGAGAATTACTGTTCAACTACAACCTCACTACTTTGATTTCCCGCTCAAAACGCTTGTTGCAAATTATTTCCTGACGCGGAGCCCACGTGAAGCCCTCGTGTAATGCCTAACCATGTACCCGCGGTACGCTACACAACTTCATTGTGATTTATCGGTGTCTCCTGGCGCACAGTAATAGGGTATCCAAGTTACGCACGCAATTGCACCTGCACATTAACTTCTCGCTGGCCCTTTCATTACGTAATGACTAAGATAGTGCAGTTGGCCGCGCATGCTAAAAGTAGTAACTTGTACGGTCGGTCGTAAGGTCTCAAGTCCTAATTTTTTCAGGTTGATGGGTTACTACTATTACCTATAATTATGGGGTTACGCTGTGCGCGCTGCGAGCTCCCTTATTTCAATAAGCTCGTTCCTATAAGCGAGCTTTATCTCACCTTCTTTTGGTTCCTAAACGGCTGTTTTCAACTTGCGGTGGCGTAGACCGAAGGCATGAAGAGACCGACTGAACATGATCGAGAACTTGTGTGTTCACCTCAAACTGTTACTCGTTACTTTTCTTCGTAAATTTTGGGTATTGATGAAGCCACGGTGGTCAAAATATGCCAACGGAAATTTCTTTATTGAGATATTCATCAGGGAGAAGGCAACGTGCAGGTATCACATGGACCACGACTCAAACAGTGAAGTACTTCATTATAATAGTTAAACTGTTGCTTTTTATGATCAATCAGGATTGAACAACCATACAACACAAAAAATTAAATTTCACTCAGACCAAAAATATCAACTTCAAGAAACAAGGGAAGACAGTTCTTCTTTTTCGATCGAAATAGGCATTTTGATCTTCCTTTCAATAATCCTAAAATCCCCTAAAGTCTTTAGTGTTATCAAGATATGTAAAAGAAGTTTAAATGGAACAACAATATACACAAGAAAATATTTGATTGGAAACAGAAGCCGTTATAGTTTTTTTCTTTCTCTTGAAAAAGATAGAGATGTTGTTTTAAGTGGAACAGTTCAAAAATTAAGACCATATGTACCATCCACTGTTGTTGGAGAAAACATTAAAAATTTCAATATACAAAGAAGAACAGATTTAAAATTTGTTCCTAGTGATATTAAACCTTCAGCAGGATTCAACACAAAGGCAAACCTAACAGAAGGAGGAAAGTAGAAAATTGTCAGCTCTCACTGGAATACAGATGATGAAAATGCTATAATAAGTTCTCCTTTTAGGTGTAATGGGAAAAAGCCTCTCGACTTTAGTGCAAGAGGAATTCCTTATAATATATGGGGGAACTTTTAAAACAACATGGAGAGGGTTCAATGGGTTTAATGAGGGTTTCAACTCAGACTGCCATACTTTTCTCATTTGCAAAGACACACTTTTGACAGAAGAACAAATCAAGGCACACCACCACGACTTCTTCATAAGAAGATACAATATTGATGTTGATCCTGTCGAACGATTGAATTTATTGGGGATGATGGAATACTGAAGATTGACAAGTTAATATGTTTAAAAAATTATGACATAAGGAGAAATATAAAAAGTGTCTCAGTAGTTGTAAAATGAGAGTTCTGGTAGAAGTTAAAGGGTCAGTATGAAAAAATGGTCCGGGCTTGTCCCGGATCCCTTCTCATCCTTTTTTCGGTAATTACCTTATCCCAGAACTCTCATTTCACAACTACTCCTTTCATTACTGATTTGAAAAAGGTCTTCAGTTCAATATGTAAGACTACAGTAAGATCTCTTAAACCCTACGACTTCAACAGTTTCACTACTTTACAAGTCAATTAAAATTGCCAATCGATTTTTCTTTGCTACTACAGCGATTTTGTTCCCACACTTCAGGTGGTGTGTAACACTGCCTCACTGTACGACAGAATCTGTAGACATTTTGCCTTATCCCCGTCAAAACAAACCACTAATTTTTTTCCGTCCTTAGACAACGCGATTTCTACCGGTGGAGCTGCTGTTCTAATAGTTCTTACCAATGTTCCCTCTTTGCTATAAACATGCACAGCGTAGCCTTCACAATCACAAACCAAAATTCGACCATTCTCAGAATCAACTGCAATACCCGCGAGATCTTCAAGCATGCCCTTTCCAATTTCTCGACGAAATTCTCCTTGAAGGCTGAAGACTTTGACACTCTTGCTGTCTGCGTCAGGCACAAATAATTCTCCGTTGAGGAGCACCGCTTTTTTTGGGGAAGACAACTTCCCTTCACCGAACACGCATTCTAGTTTTCCATTAACATTATAAACCAGAACGCAGGAATTCGTTTCGGAGGTGAGCTCTTGGTATCTCGGACTTGACGTCACAAACAAACGCCCAGATGAATCGTGCGACAGAAAAGTGAACTTTACTTTTGGGATGGGAGTCGTTGGGAACTTGCGCTTCAGATTTCCACTTCGGTCGTAATGCAACAATGAATTAGTTTCTCTGTTTAAAACCACAATTTCATCGTTGTGCGAGTATGTAATGTCCCAAAAGTCGCCAAATATGAAAAGAAACTGAGTGAGATGATTTCCCTCTCGATCAAAAATATGCACGCGTTTGTTTTCAGCATCCAATACTGCTATGTCTCCGCATTTCTTTGACACCGTCACCGCAAACGGGAAGAAGTTAGGGACCTTAATGCTACCTCCATCGATATGTTTTAAGACTTTTTCGTCGCTAAAACTTTCGTTGAGGCCAGCTAGTGAATGTTTGTCGCTATCAAACCTCTCCGCTTTTCACGCTCAGATCTCCAAATACAGATTCTTCGTTATCTAAAGAGAAGTCGCTCTTCGTAAAGGTAAGTTCAAATTTTCGAAAACATTTTCGCCTTGCTGAAAGAATTTGAATACCAGCAACTTTAGCGAGCTCTTCTAAATGCTGCACCTGTCTCAAACCACGTTTATCTCCGTCTTTCTTCTTCTCGACGCTTTCAACACAGCTGGAGGTCTTTGCTAGCAGATTATTTAGTTTTTCCTTTTGTTTGTCGAAGGTAGTTTCGGGGTAATTGTTATTCATGTACTGATCAACTTCAAGAAGTAATTGCTGTTCCTGATCACGAATTATGTCAATAACATGATTTGCTGCAGTTTGGATTTCCTTTTTCACATTTTCTGCTTGTTTCTTTATTGAGTTTCGGCGGACGTCCATTTCTTGTATTGCGTTCTTTAGTCCTTCAAGATTTTCCCTACTTCTTTTCAAAGCTTCCTTGATAAATTCATTATCATAGGCCTTTCTAGAGGGATTTTTTTCAATCAGTCGAGCCAGCAGATGGTTCTTTGGAAACGCTGAAACTCCGGCGGTTGGAATGAAGGACTCCACTCGGCAAACTGGGCATTCGATACTTGTCATGGTTGAATTTTTACATGTCATCTCCTCTAAACATTCCTGACAAACATTGTGAGCACAATTTGGCAAACATTTTGGCTCTAGAAATTCCTCTAAACAAACCGGACAGCTAACCTCATGCTCTACTGCCGCCACAACTTCATATAGTTTTATAGATTGCTTTGTAGCCATATTTTTGAAGTCTTGATGAAGCAGCACAGTCACCCGACAAAATGGTCTGTTTGTCTCTTGATATATTTTTACCGTTGTGCTGCGCCTGTCACGCATATTTCATATTTGCATAAAAATTGCGGTTTTCATGATGTGTTGAATTGGCACCTGAGTGCAGCTTGTTGTTATTGCAGTTGTGAGGTGGCGCCCTCGCAAGCCGCATGTAGTTCATCCAGTACAATTCGGTTTAACTGTTGAAAACAAGGTTGACGCTGTCAGTGGTCTTTGAAGAACGAGGAACAACACTAGTGTTTCCTGTAGTTCAATGTGATGTAATACTAGTGGCTTACACCCCTATAGTTTTGCCCAGCCTCAAAATAGCGTGTGTTATTATGTATTCCATGCTACGTGTGTAATTATTTATTCCATGCTACGCGCGTTATTTGCGGGATTGGCGTGTTTGACAACGACAGCTTTGAGCGGTTGTTTACAGTTTAATTTCGTTTTCAATAATGATGATGAAAGAGTAAAACTTTCTTGTATGGTTACAAGGTATTAAAATCTGATCTTTAGCACGCGCAGAAGAAACAAAAGGCGTGACTTGATAACTCTCAAATTAAAGGGTATGTATTACAATTGAAATAATAAGCCGGAGATGGCCACTGGTTACAAGATATTGCTAAAGGTCAAATTAATCGCAACTTTTCCATGTTCGAAGATAACTGGTCTTGTAGAGTGAACAAGGATCCGCAACATAATCACCTTTACCGTTTAATATTAGTGAATATCTCTTTGAGATGTCATTTTCAGACACCTCGTACCCTCTGGTGCTGCAATGAATAATACATAACATGCAAACGAAAGAATTATTTGACAAATAAAAATTTCCACCTATTTTACTAAAAACTTTAAAATTTATTTTTGATCCAGCCTTGCAGTTTCCAATTAAAATAACAAAAAAGTTTACCGCAGATCAGATCTTACAAAGAAGACTTTTCCTTGCCAACTCTGGTCTAGTTCACCTGCTTGTCGTATTTTATTTGCCATGTTTATAGTTTCATCCCGGGAACCCACGTAAATTGAAGACCCTCCCTCTGAATAACCCTTTGAAGGTACTCTAATCACGTGATCAAACTAGTTCACCAGATCGGAAAAAATCATTCGCGTCGCTTTATTGTGACAGTACAAATTATTTTCGTTATCGTTTGAAATCATCCTGTTAATCGTAAAATGAGGGAAGCTTTTTTTCATAATAATAATATCGGGTCAAAACAATCTAGCCCTTTCACTGATGTCGACTGCGCAATGTAAACCTTCGTAATTTTCTTCAAAGAAGTTCCAGCACGCATAATGTTATGACATCGAAGGACAGCCTAGACATCAAGGTTAGAAACCTGTTTCTAACCTGTTTCATCGCGCTAAATTAGGGGTACAAATGAAAAGACACTAATACCAAGAAGAACTTCGTTGTTATTTAACAGTGCAACGATAGCTTGTATTGAAAATCTGACAAGGCACAGCGCTCTTGACAGAAAATGCCTCAACTTCAACAGTAATTAAAAACCTGGAATTTATTTCTTATGATATCTATAAAATTACAAAAACTACTTTACAATTTAATGATACGAAAAAACGAATTCCACATTAATTTCACTCTTGAGACTGGAAGGGTCGCAAAATCGCCGCAAACTTACAACATTACCTGATATGATCCAAAAAATTTACCATTACTAAATATCCCGAGAAACAAGTACATGAGTCTTGCTGGATAGATGAGTTGACGCTTCCTTATTAAAAAAAAAGACATTTCTCATTTCCATTATCAACCAAGTTGTGTGGCAAACGGTATTGATCGTGTGTATACTGCCAAACATTAAAAAAAAGGATTCAAGCTAACACTGACTTAATAAAATATATATATAAAAAAATATATGTATATATATAAATTTGGTCTCAAACGGATCCCACTCAGCTAAGTGATGGCGAATTAGCGCACAGTTCAGTCTAATGTCCCCTGAGGAGTAATATTTTAACAACAAATTCTACTCACAAAATCAAAACAGTCAATAGTATTTCATGGGTGCGACGACTGCCATGGGCAGGGGAACTGGCTTATGATGTGAAATATTTTGTTTTGTGAGATCAAGCTGAATTTTTATGACTGCGTTCTTAAATATCGAGAAAATTTTTACTCATAACCTTGGAAACACTTAATTAATTATATCGAACAGTCAAAACACAGAGCAGGTTGGCAGATTCATTTGTATCGTGTCACTGCCTTCCACCAGCGTAAGTTGGATTCTCGAATGTAGTCTTGGCAGCTTGATACAGGGGATTTTTTTCCTGAAAATCAACGATGGGTATCACGTCACACAAAGACTAGATAACAATGGAGGGTAAACATTGAGAAACCTAAAGCAAATTAATTGATGGTGAATACGAAATTCTCATATTTTGTTTCAATCGATCAACAAGGAGGGAGAAAAGAAAGAATGCTTAAAATACTCTTGAGCTTAACATTCAGGAGGGAAACACCTCATCTGTCCTGAACTCCCTTTTCATCAAAACAGACGTCGTGTTGACGAATGAAGAACAGAGGCATGACAATAATGGGATTAAAAAAGGCTTGTGAAAAAAAAAAAAAAAAAAAAAAAAAAGAAATAGTAGCTTAAAGTTTGGCAATCACTGCTTAAACAGGCTGTTGAGAGGAAACAAATTGAACTTACCTTGGTCCATCTCGAGTGCATTCGTTCTCGTTCAAACTTTTGATATTCAATGCGGTCCTGAAATAGAAAGCAATACGAATTCAGTAACACGGACAGCCCAGAGTTAGCACCGTAAGGACGATGGTTGTCTCAATGAGGAATCCTTTTTTTTCATTTCACACGATTTTAAAACCACTTCTCCTACAATAGACATTGATTATAGCTCGATCATTGTTTGAATTTCATTGGCATAGACTAGGACAATAGTTTCCCTCGCCGACGTAACACAAAACGTGCTAAGATTACATTTAAAGTTGCTTATGAACCCGTAAACGTGAATGGCATAAACCGATTAACTAAGATGATTTGATCTCAGAGCCCTACTTGTTTCTTAATGACAGATCTGGTAACTAACTGACCTTGACTTTTCAAGCTACGCTGGGTTAATCAGAGGCATTTGACGAACAGCTCCAGTTATACACATTTGCACTCATTTCAAACCGAAATAAAAGGCGCAGCGGAAGAAAATTCAAGTTGATTAACCATCAAACTTAAGCTAACATACCACCATAGTAACGAAGGCCTTGACAACAATTAATATGATAAGACCCAGCAGTAATATTCCACCAATCACACCCAACACAATGGGTAATATGGGTGCTTCTTCAGGACAACTCACTGAAACAACAACAAAAACGAAAGCAGCGTAAGAAAATCAAGTCGGACAGCTATACAAAAAGTGTTTTCACTATCCAGTTGTAAGTTCAAAGAATTGTATCAAGGGCTAATAACGTTATCCAACGGATAAATCGCTATCTAGCGAATAAGTGGAAAGCAAAGCGAACTACGCTATCCAACAGATAGTGATTTATCTAGAGGATAGCATTCCCCAATCTTCGAACAACCGGAGCCTGGAGTTTAACAATTGTAAAATAAGGGGCATTTTCAACCTGCTGGGGTCTCCTGAAAAAGCAAATTAAACTATTTTTTTCAAGATTAACTTAAGTAAAACCACACATCAGACGAGACACTGAAGCATTACCTTTCTCTTTTTGAACAAAAAGTACAAAGCGTTCGCTGTTTTCCTCTGTTTGCGTGGTAAAGTAATATGTGCATCCGTCAACTTCACCCTCACAGCGATACAATCCTTCATCTGTGCATGAAAAAAAGGCAACAAATCAAATCAATTCTGCATAATAATAATCCCACCCGCATTTGATGCCAGCTGCGTTGCCGACTGAACGCTTTGTGAATTCTAACTACAGAACCTGTACCACACGTTCACGGATCAATTGTCTAAACCCACAAGTTGCGCAGGCTAAACATATTTCATTTCTTTGAAGCTGGTCACATTTGATTGGCCTCGGTTTGGCTTTAAGCTCAATATTCTATTAGGCTGTTTCCCACAATGAAAACTATGCACGTTCTCTGATTCTTTCGTTATGATGGGCGCCTATTAATCCTCACCTGTTTTTTTTTCAATATTATCCACCACCTGAACTTCCAGAACATTAGCTTCACACCTATTTATTTTTTTACACTGATCCAAGGACTGGCCTTCGAATGTTGCACACAGAGCACAGTCTTCATTGCGACTACACATGCCGTCTTCACAGTTCTAAAAGAAAGATTATTTTCACACGAATAATGTTTAGTAAAGTGTGCATGACAAGGATTTTAAACACCACAATTTGATCGCTGTGTTACTAATCACATTCTTGTATTTGGGGCATCCTCGATGCGTTTGGAGAGGCACCTCGTGCATAACGAATGTCTTACCTATCACTGGGGGAAAAATCCTCTTCATACCAAGAAAGACAACGTACAGCGTGCAGAAAGTACTGCAACTTTTAGTCGAGTAAAACTGAGATTATCGGAGAAATGACCGTCTGAAATCGTTGGTTCCAACATTTGTTTGACAGGGGTATAGAGTTTTCCCCAAACATTCAAATGCCTGGAACTCTTTTAGTTAACAAATTGTCTCCTTTAAAAGGTAACTAGAATTTCACCGTGACTGACCCAGTTCACTTGTTATCCACCATTAGCAGGGAAACAATCTAACACAACGAGATCGTGGTGCATTTCGACATTGAGTCACTACTCACTAACGTTCCGCTCGACACAGCTGTACATGCAGCTCTACAGAAACTGAAAAACGATCTAAACCTACCCAACCGCACGGCAATAACAAAGCTCAGGTAAGGAACTTTAAACTGCATACTTCCAGTATAACAGATCAATTTATTAACACACAGAAGGCATAACCAAGAGGAGTCCGTTTCCCGTTTTTATTGTTAACCTCTACATGGTGAGTTTTGAAGGGCGAGCATCATCTTATGAGCCCTGGATTTGGAAACGCTACATAGCGTAAATTTTCAGCTGCTCTTTTGGAGAAGGGTTTTGTAGGGAATGGCATCTACCTCCAAGCCAAGTTCAATGTATAATACTGTAACAGTGACTGAAAAAAGTCATAACACCACTTACCGGACACTTTTCACAGTAGGTTCCATCATAAGCACTCTTACAAACACACTTGTAGCAGTTTTCGTCATCTGGCTTGCATTCGCCTCTCTCAGAACCTCCACAGATCTCCTGGAAAGACACAGAACAACGGAAGTAAGAAGCTGGCCTTTTTTTATTATAATATAACTTAAAAAACAATCGGTGATGGGATCACGGCAAAAAAGCTGCCTCACCGAATCCGCATCTTTCTTGCATTGGGTTTCTGGAGGAAAGTATGTACAGTTCTTCTTGTCACAGTTAGCGCCATGATACTTTGGTTTACATTGGCATTTACGGCAACGACAAACTCCACGATCAGGACCTGGAAAAAGAAAAAAAATCCATACATCACCACATACCAGTAGCACCTTAAGACAGCTCACAAATACATAATCACCATGCTAAGGACGTTTAATTCTGTTTACTGTAGAAGAACCATACCTCCACATAATTGGCCTTTATCTTCAGGACATGAGAAATCATTGCACTGGCACAAGTCCCCATAAAACCTTTTTCCTTGCTCCTAAACAAGAAGCATTTACGGTGTCAGCGAAAACAAGCCAGATTGTATCCATAATATTTGAGCCCAACCTTTTCCCTTAATCCAAGTCGAAAGCAGTTTTTTTTTTCTAACCAACATTTCAAAATGGTTATTCTGTTCACTCACCGCTTTGCAAACACACTTTCCACAGGCACACTCGCCGTTTCCACTGCATGGCAGTTCGTCTGTAGAGTTAGAGCTGCAGGTAGAAAACACAGTGTTACTGCAACAATATGACCCAGCCATTCGTTTTACATTCATTCCATATTTATACCTAATCTTAACGTAAAAATTTGCTCATCTCCATATCTGTAAAACGGAACAAATATTCCGTACGCTCATTTACGTGATAATAATTCTTCTGTTAAACGTAAAATGACCCCTGAAAAGCAAAACTGATGATTTTTGCATTGTCAACAATAGTCCTAGATATAAAAGAGCATGATACAGTAACGGCCATCGGTTTTTTAACCGACTAATAACTGTTTTTAACACTGACTAATAAGAGAGAGGCTGTGACAGGCTGTCCATCATGGCTGAAATTCAAGACAGGCCAAAACCATACTACTGTTTTCTTTAGTAGGACGTAATAAGGGTTGTGGACTTGAAAAACTTCTTAAATTTTACCTACCTTTTACATTTAGACTGATCCTTTGATTTGTCAAATGGCGTATCGCACTGACAAAATTCTCCATACCTTGAAGAAAAAAACGTTCGATGAGTGCCTTTTTTGGTGCTTCCAAAGAGACTTATGTGTAGGATTGTGGGTGTAACGTGTAGCGGCAAAAGTTTGAATAATAAAACGCGCATTGGCAACAAGCAGAGATCAATTTTAAGAGACTACATCCAATGTAAGCAATTGTTTGTAACTGACCTCAGTTACTTCTGTAGGTCTTGTCCACTGATCACATTATTATTTCCCTAGTGATTATTTAAACCCCACCCCCTCAATCCCTTCCCCCCCCCCCCATTACAAAAAAAACAACTCTCGGTTAACCTCGATTACCTTAAAAAAGTGACTTGAAGAAGACTCCGACGACTCAGTACTCACCTCCCTTTGTTACAATCACATTGTCCACAGGCAAACGTTCCATTTCCTTCGGTACACTTGGTGCTGTTTTCCTCCTGTTCAGGTTACAAAGGGTTACGTGCACCGTGTTCAGTGCTAGCAATACAGTCTTAGCCGGATTCGCATTTCGCATCACGATTAAAATCTCTCAGTAATCTAACCGTTATGTTACACTTAGGGCAAGTCGGGTAAATCCTGCAGGCTTAACTGAAAGCTACCCACAAGAACAAAAGACGAATTTCTTTGATCTTTATCCAGGATGGGAAGAAAATAAATGTCTCGGGATATTTATGAACGTAAAAGCGAGAAGGTGAAGGTCTGGGAGGGAGGAGAAATAAGAAGATCCGCAGACTTTTTTTGAGCAACTGAAATAAAATTTGAGTACCTAATAAATCTTCCGAATTTCTTGGTTCGATTTTCAAAATCATTTCAAGAGAGAGTGATATGATGGCATGGGGAAACGAGGGGGAAACTTTTTTTTCCAAGGAAGTCGCCATAGAAGCCTTATTTTTTTCCGTTTTGGAGCCGCTCTCGCACTCCAGGCTTGTCCTTCAAGTTTTACATCTATCTTTTTGGTGATTACATCATTCAAGACAAAGAGTCCATGCACAAAAATTTCATTCAAAGTGACTTACCGCCATACTTGGCTTCCCACAGTCGCACTCACAAACATAATTCAGGTCTAGTTCTACAGCTCCAAATCCTGGTACACGAATTGTGAAGCTACAAATCCGAAAAAAGAGAGAAAAGAAAATGAGCAAACGATAGTTACAAAAAATGCTTTGACGAGCGAGCATTCACTAGAGTCTGTAAGTGATGCACTGATAGCTCCTCACAATCAAAGTTACACCAAAATTTTAAACAGTGGGAGAACTGGGAACAAACTCGGCCTCACTGACCTGCTCTGCTGCGCAGCTCCTGCCTCAGGGCATTGTTGTAACGTCACTGACACATCAAAATAAACCTAAAGAAAAAACTTTTCGCATCAATAAGAGATCATGTCATCTCAAAAATGAAAGCAAAAAACCTAATTAATTTTTTTTCTGCTGATGTAAGACACAATACCTTTTCTCCAATTTTCACATTTGAACATCTCTGGGTTTGGTCATTGACTGCATTAGGCCTTAAAATAAAACAGTATCAACCAGTCAGCACACATATTAGTAACTGATGGTTTCTGTGCAAGAGAACTGTGACTGTAAAAATGTCTAATACCAACCTATGTTATTGCTTCTGTGCATAAATTAGATCAGAAGAGACAGATAACTGACATACAGGTTTTTTGTACAACCACTTTTCACTGTGCCACTTACCCACAATTAGCTTTGACAGTAACTGACACTTTCTCCGGAGCATTAAAGACCAAGCTGACTGACGATACAATTTCCTGTAACAATTAGAAAAAATAACAAGTCTTAGTTACTTGAGCATAGAGGAATGTAAATTTAAAATTATTTGGGAAATGTTAAAATTATGATTATGTGGAAAATTATAAGCAGTGTTTAAGCTGAGTATTTGTGCAGATGTCTTATGACAGAGTAAGAGTACTAGTAACTGTTTTTGTAGCTCGAAATCATTTTTTCTTAAGGTCCTCTGCTGTAAAATTTAAGACAGCAGACAAACATTCTACTCTCTGTTAATGGTGACCACCTCTATTTTACCTAATATCTGTATTTACAAAAAGAATCCATAGTATCTCTAAAAAACAGAATTTTCCCTTCAGGCCTTTGTCAGGTTCACCTCATATTTTCTAGCAATTAGGTCAACAATGTTTCCCGAGTCAACTGCAAGCTCTCCACTAACAGCTCCCAAGTCACTCCACATGGATGCCACACTCTACAAAACATATCAAATTAAATGGAAGACCTTTAGACAATATATATATATATATATATATATATATATATATATATATATAAGAAAAAATTTGGGAAACATAAACCATCCAAAGTTTGTTGGTTTGCTTCCCTAAAAACTGGAAAACATCTGATACAAGAAAGCCCTGTTTGTAATTCCACATGAACTGTTTTCAGTGTTTTGGTAACCACAAATGGAAGAACAACACTGAAATTATTTGAATCCAACATGTTATCTTGGATAATCTTATTGAATACAAAGACAATTCCTACCACACAAAAAATGGCATAAACATTTAAGACACAAAACTTTTAATAAATACCTGGTACAGACTGGAGACATCCTTAACAACAGCAAATATTGGGATAATATTGCTCTGCTGGAGTCTGTCATGAAGCTGAGCCAGAGAAGGATAATCCTGTGAAATGATGAAACAACTCCTCTTATCAGTAACTATGACTGGTAATATCAACAGGCAGTTTATATATCTTGAGATGCAATCCTGCATATTCTACAATTATAACACCAAATGCAATTAAGCTCTTCGTTTTCCACAAGATCTCTCTTTTATTTCCAGACATCCAAAGTTACTTTTAATGTAAAAGGTAATGTCAAAAATTGATGATTAAAAAGGTATTAAAAGGCTCCTTCCTCCTCAACTGAATACATATTGATACTCGAAATTACTATGACTGTCCTGAGTTGTTTGAAGGGTAAATAATGCTATCCACAGGATAAATATCTATATCCATGGAATAAGTACAGTATGTTTTATTCACTCTTATTCACTGGATAGCAATTTATCCATTGGATAGCCTTATCTATTCTTTGAACGACTGGACCCTCAGGGTCCTGTTGTTATACACCAGGCTGGTGTATAAACCCAACCAAACCCTCATATGATTCATTGTGTGAAATTTAACTAAACCTTTTTATAAAAGCAAGGTTATTTTTGAAGTAGACCTTGAAATAGATTAATTACCCAAATAGATAGATAGAGATAAATCTCTCCATCTGGTGGATAACCCTTCATGTTTTGCTGTCATTTATCCCTTGGATAGCAATTTATCCATTGGATAGGGTTATTTGCTCTTTATACAATTGGGCCTAAGAGTGTTTCCAGCTAAAAACCAACCAAGCACAGCCCCTGATGAACATGTTTGGGTAATTTTTAGCACTGGGTACAAATCACCCTTTCCTGTCAATCATACCATTTCATTTGACTTTGAGTAGAAGTCATAGTCTCCTTGAACATCTTTTTTCAAGTGGCATTTTCCATCATTCGGAGTCACAATACCACCAAGCTGAACAACAAAATCATAAACAAATCACTTAGCTATATATGATGGATGATTGAGCTTAAAATTCTGTACAAGGTCAATTGATGGAAAAGCCAATACGACAGGCATACTGCATATGAGAAAAGGAGTGATACTTTCCATCTCACTTCCAGGGGCAAATGATAAAAATAATAATATCAACAACAACAACAATGATAACCATACAGATAACAGTAATAATAATGGTTTATTCAATAGATTCCACTGAGCAGCTCCTCATTGAAGCTATCTTTGATCTTATAATACAATTAAAGTAAAATAAAATAAGTTAAAAATGATGACACTAACAAAATCAAATGAAACAAATAAAAATATGATGCCTTTAACGCTTCAAAACAACTTATCAAAACCTTCCTTCCAAAATTGTATAATGAAACCATAAGCCTTTTCAGGAGATAATCAGTAAGAGGATTGTTTAAACAAGACAAGTTGCTCAAATCAGAGGGTATGCTGATAAGTTTGATGTTTGGGGAAATCTACATGTATCAACAATTTTGGATGCTTTAAGTGAAAAAAATTTGTGTCATCCAAATAGTAATTATACTCTGGAGCTAGCATATTGATTGAAACAGAGATAAAATGTAAAATATAAACAACAAAATTGTCCCTCAATCTTTTAAAGTGTCAATTGATATTTAAGAATACAAACCTTTCCATCCCCAGCAATATGAAATGGAGCATCAGAAACAAAGACAACCAGACGGCGAGATGTACCATTGGCACCCCAACCAATTTCCTACACAATAAAGCAAGTTTAACAATTAATCAATTCACCCAAGAGTTTTGAATAAGAATTCAGCTTTACATAATTTTTTGAACGTAAAACTTTTATGGACAGTTTTAAGCCAGATTAGATCCATTCTTTCCAACCAATCATTGGGAGCATAAAAACAGGGAAACAGACTATGTTTGCCAACTCAACATGAAGAGTCACTCTTACACATGTAGCTAACCAACAATTCAGCTCAGACCTAACCACAAATCACACTATAATTGAGGTTTTTAAGCATTTTTCCTAGTACTCAAACAAAACTATCATTCCATCTAGTATCCTTAGCATATGCATCTGGTCCAGTTTCACAATTTCTCTCCAGAGAAATACAAGAGGGGGTAGTCCGTGTGATAAGAAATAAATGGCATTGATGACAGTCACATTTAATGTCCTATGTTCATGCCACTGACCTTTTCACAAGCTGCTACTTGCATCAAGGCATCAAATCCTCCTTCAGGAGCATCAAGATTACCAGAAATGACCTGATCCTTAATTTTTTGCTATAAAAGAAAGATATCAGAATGAAGTGCTCATACTATTCACTGCAGCTCAGACTAATAACAAATTCAAAATTATTTTAAGCTTATACTTAACTAAATAAAAATTAACTTTTGAACTCACTGCTGGAAAGGACACAGAAAATTACAAAATTACACTTACTGCAAAGAGTGGGGCATTATCAACAAGTGAGAGAATGTGTCTGTAGCCATATGTAGGCACACAGGTTACTTTGTCTGAAGTAATACACGGAAGCTTTGTCCTACAAATCAAACAACAATTAAACCTCACTTGTGACACTGATTCCTCTAAAAGAGAGACCTTGAAAATTCCAAGGAGAAAGAGTCCCAAGCTTAAGAGAGGAAAGTAATAAAACACTGGAAATCCCACACGAGTGCTGGCAGGGTTAACCATTCATTGGATGGTGGGGTCATAAATTTTGCAACAAAATGGCCTCTATATATTGTAGGTTAAAGTGGAATTCTAGTGGAGGCAGTGCAGCCGAGTAGCTGAATTGTCCAGGTGCCAGACTTGTAATCTGGTGGTCCTTAGTTCAAGCCCTTCACCTTGCTACTCCCTGGATATGTTCTTGGTTGCCCTAAGTTCAACTCCTTGGCTGCACTTTGCATATAACCAACCTGTCTCCCTCTGGCCAGTTGAGACTTTTAAACTCTATGTTTATTCACTATGATTATATTTGTTTATTTTAACCCTGAAAAGTCCCATTTGGGAAGCAGTCAATAAATATCATTATTATAACTAGCTGAGAGTATTTCTAATAAGATCTATTTGTATCTTTCATTGTTCAGAAAGTAGGTTTGACCCAATTGTCCATTTGTAGTGTCCCTACACTCTGTCAGGGGGCATGAATAAAAAAAAATCAAATCCTTCACAAAAGGGGATTGTCATCAATCAGTAAAAATTGGAAAGTTTCAAACTGAAAATGAAGAGTTACTTACTCAACTCTGATGAATGGACTGACAGTCTTGTCCACAAAAGAACCAAAGCCCAGTTTTGAATTTTTTGTGATGTTATTCATGCTATCAGCTAAAGAAATTAATCAAAAGGACACACAATTATTTCAATGTGCAATACATGAACTTATTGTACTAAACACAAGCATTGCAGTGCATAATTTTTCTTTTTCAGATTGTGAAAATGAATTTAGTTCAAAGGCAATTTGTTTCAAAACCTAAAATTCAAAAATAAACTTTAACTTCAATATATAAATTCCACTCTTCAAAAATCGTCAGGAGACATCAGCTGCAAGTCATGAACATTGGACAAAGAAAAATTGTAAGTCCCCATAAGGAATTGAACCTCAAACCTTCACTGAGCCATGGAGACTCATTGGTGAGCTTTGCCATAATGCCCTGTCAATAGAAAGCTTCAACATCCCCTCCCCCCTTCCTTCCCTGGGCAACCCATGAGCATTCCATTGTTGTCCTCATATTATAAGTATTACTTGTTCTTTAAAATGAAGGAGTTTAAAGGTAAAGAGTCTGCTCTTATGAGTTACATACTAAGAAAGAAAATTTTCATGTCATAGAATGATGCTTACCAACAAAAAACCCAGCAGCTGCACCAAGAACTAATATGTGAATTTGCTAAATTGTACAACATTAAATGGTTGCACAAAGAATCATTCAATATTGGGTGGAACATTTCAATGTAATTTTGGCCGAGGGGATGGGAATTTGAATGAACCAGTCTTCAAAAGTTAAAATGCCTAGGGGGGTGCCCAAGGGGGGATGTTGAAGATTTGGAATGATCAACACATTATTAGGCTTCTCACAAACTGCTGGGTTATGCTATGTCAAAAGCCTTGTGTGGATACACAGAATTAAAAAGATGGTGAATTTCAAGCTCAGCAATAAAGTAATGAAAGAATGATCAATGTTTTTCATCTTGTCACAAGTGTGGAACACTAGAAAAATTCTGAGTCCACATGGGGAATTCTACCTCAGACCTGTGGATTCCACAACGCAACACTCTACCTCCGAGATTGTGAAATGAGCTTCAGGAAGTCTAATGCTTGGTTGATATATGAAATGCCTCCCTCATCTTATTACAATCAGCAATGTCTCTGTTAACAAGGTCAAAATTCACCATCTTCTTATCTTATTAACCTAGTAATATTTCAATGATCAACTGTTTTCTAAAATTCATTACTACAAATTATACCCTGATTATCAAACAGATTTTTTTATTTAAAAAAACATGAATATTATAACAATTACAGTCCTATGGAGATGTGACAGTGAAGCAGAAATATCTCTGCAAGAAATCTTTGCGATTTTCAAAACACAAAACATCAAAATATACTCAGAGTAGTATAACTGCCTCAGTGCAGTATAACTGCCCCAGTGTAGAATAACTGCCCAGTGCAGTATAACTGACCCAGTGCAGTATAACTGCCCCAGTGTAGAATAACTGCCCAGTGCAGTATAACTGTCCCAGTGCAGTATAACTGCCCCAGTGCAGTATAACTGACCCAGTGCAGTATAACTGCCCCAGTGCAGTATAACTGCTCCAGTGCAGTATAACTGCCCCAGTGCAGTATAACTGTCCCAGTGCAGTATAACTGCCCCAGTGCAGTATAACTGCCCCAGTGCAGTATAACTGCCCCAGTGCAGTATAACTGCCCCAGTGCAGTATAACTGACCCAGTGCAGTATAACTGACCCAGTGCAGTATAACTGCTCCAGTGCAGTATAACTGCCCCAGTGCAGTATAACTGCCCCAGTGCAGTATAACTGCCCCAGTGCAGTATAACTGCCTCAGTGCAGTATAACTGCCCCAGTGCAGTATAACTGCCCCAGTGCAGTATAACTGCCTCAGTGCAGTATAGCTGCCATATTGATTTTCCTGTACCTATTGTTGTCGCCAAAGCAGTCAGTTTTCCCAAGTCATCTCTCATAGAGTTTGACATGTCCATGAGATAGTACAAATCTACAGGGTAGTTTTCTGCTGGTCTCACTGTTAGTCTCACTGTAGTGGCCACTCCTGTAAATCATTTACATGATTATTTATAACATTTCCCCAATCACATTATCACCACAGCTCACAAATATAAAATTCTGCACTATTAAAGTCACATGGCCAATTTCATCAGGTATCATACATATCTCAGTTTCACTACCATGAACAGGGTGTGAAATTAATTTTTTTTTCTGATAGCCACTTGGCTCCTAAATTCTTCAAAGTGGTAGCCAAGTGAAAAAAAGTTGGTTACCATTTTCAAAGACAAACAAAACCTTCTTTTAAGCCGTCAGCATTCTAGATAGACCCTCCAAGATTAAGTTTGGGAAAGGATCTTTAACATGCTACAAAGTGGACACTAGGATGGACGATATACAACATTAAAGCTCACTTAATTCCAAGATGGCGTCTAGTTATTGATAGAGATGCATCTATTGTGTTTTGGAAACAAACAAGGAAGTTTGCGACGGATTTATCTTTGCAAATCTTTTTAATTCGCTTTATCTCTTGGTAAGGTTATGATGAAACATTCTAGTTGCCAATTTGGCGACTAATTTCCAGGATTTGGTTGCCAAAGTGAAAAAGTTAGTCACATTGGTGCCTGTATTAGGTGCAATTTCACGCCCTGATGAAGCAACTAGAAGTATTGCACCTCCCCATAGATAGGTCTTAATTTGTCACAGACTAATAAGTTCTAGGTCATCAGACAGCCAATTACATCAGGGATAACATGTATCTCAGTTTCACTAAAATGAAGCAACTAGTGGTATTGCACCTCCTCATGGACTGGTTCTAGTTCATCATAGGCGACCTCTACAATTTGGTCAGTTTTCCTTGTCAATTTTCCAGTACAAAACTGCAATCCTGTGTGCAAATCCAAGCACTGTGAGATGTGTCTTACCCAGGAACTCAACACATTAAACTGTAACAGTAATGTTACTGGCATATTACTGTATAGGACATAATAGATAAATCTCTTGTAACATATGTCTAGGTACTGGTAGGTACCAGTAACTGGTTAAGATTAAGGTTAACCTTTAGATAGTAATATAACTAGAATTGAAAAACTTCTCAATGAGTACTCCTGAAAACGTCCATACAGGAGCTAGTGATAACATGACTTGCTACAAACATGTACAGATACCATGCAAGTTTACCTGATCGTAAATTCACTTTGATCCTCTGGGGTTGAACTTGGACTTTTGGTCCCACAGTACTGTCCTGTATTTCACAAAATATATGTATACATTGTCAGAAATAGGGTTACGGTTGACTGATGAAGTTGGACAAAAATTGCCTTAATAATGAAATTAATTGAGCATTAAAAGGATTGTACTGTACCTCTTCATTATTGAACTTGCTCCCTGGATTAGAAATATTACTCACAGGACAACCAGAGTTCACTAAATTATCTTGCGTATCACAGCGTGATTGTCCAAAATTCTAAAAGGAGAGATTAAAAGTTAAATAATGCTGACTTATAGGCACCTTGTTATAAAAATTTGCGTCTACAGTTATACATTCTATACGCAATGATAAACTCTGATTTATCAATATCACACTCTCATAAACCCAGGCTCTTGACCAATACATACCTGGTTGGATGATGTATTTCTGGTTATGAAATAAGCCACAAGTGTTCTATTGGAGGACCATTAACAACATTTTGTTTTTACTATCATTGAAAACAATTAGGTTCCATGTCAGACACCTGACAACATTTTAATGGATGAATTGACTACATGAATTAATATAGAGTTCTTCCAATCCCTATTTTGAACACAAACATCCAAAAACACAAGTTGTGGGAAAGCTAAATCTCCTCTTAAACATAATCCTTTGCAAGATATATTTACTGTGAACAGAATTACCTCTTGAGAGCACCAGGCACACCTGGCCACCCCAATGCACTCTTGACAAGTTGTTCTGCTTCTACAATTATCTGCACCTACATTGAAATATAGACAGAACACACCAAAGTTATGTTTTTCTTGTATGATTTTCACAGAGTTATAAGAAAGGACCATCTCTGGTTTTAAAACAAGTTATCCATTCTCATATTCAATCACCAAAACAAAAACACTAGTTACTGCATTATGATCATGGATTAAATAGGGCTGGAGAATAGTTATTAATTATCAAAATAAACAAGAATGACAAAAGAGCTTTTTGATATTTGGCAAAACAAAACATATTGAATTATGTTTACATAGAGCAGCTTCTGCTTGTTATTTATTTGATGTGAAAAAGAACCTTTTCTGACACACCTGAGCCAAAAAAAATTGACACAGATTGGGCAAAATGATGTTGGAAAGAGTATTTCACTTACTAACACAGAGAGAAAAGAAAAACACACTAGGTTGTACCATGTGTTTCAAATGAATGGTTTTTTTCTAATTCACTTCTTTCAAATTATGCACAAACCCCTCATGATATATGTCAACTGTCTCAAGATCAGATAAAACTTTAACTTTGTTTGGCCTGGTTCATACTACTGCAAGGTACTGATCAAGTAAACTGTTCTGAAGGAAGAGACTAGTCTGAAAGCTTCTAACCAGATTGTATTCGATATAAATGGTAAATTTAACATGAACCACCTAAAATAGCACCCTTTTCTGTCATTCTATGCTTTCATGGAAATGGTACCGTCTATGACACAAACATACTTTGAAAATAAAATACCAAATCTTAAACCACAAAGAAATCGGACTTACCTTGACAACATACATGACCAACTATGATTGTAAATAAGACGAAATATAAAATAAATCGAGATCTTTCTTCCATTTTAACTCCTATGAATAGAGTGAAACGAAACAGTGAGAATGCTAAAAGACGTTTTAGATAAACTGCCATTCAGATCAGTGGTTTCTTACATCTATTAATCATACACGTGATGGAATGATTTAAACTTACTTATAAAACAAATGTTGAGTGAATATCATCAATGAACAAATCTTGAAATGAACAAATCTTGAAATCAGGGTGTATTGTGCCGAAAGTGAATAAACAACCGATCAAGCCAATCTCTAGAAATTTATCAAGCCAAAACAAAACGAAAAACTTTAAGCTTTTGATACTTACAAATGACTTTTGTCCTATCCTTAATGTCGCTTGAATCAATGCTAACAAGTTCAACTAAGTGCTCGATGTCAAACTCTATCCATTCTCTTCTTCCACTAAGGAAGTGAGCAATACATTCCTTCACTCCAAATATGGGTATGATTGCCATATTAATTTAAAGGCGACGCCAACTTCCTATTTGGTGGGGTTCACTGACGTACTTCCGTTAGACTTACAAATAGCGGAAACTACGCATGATTCGGAACTACAGTCAGGTCAAATGTGCATCTGAACAGGAATGTATTTAAAAAGATACGTAAGGATATTTCAGCTATTTTTAGCGTCAGGAGGAAATGTACTCAATGTGATGCTATGCCATGGTAGATAAAGAATAAACCAGAAAGGAGAAAAAATTATTAAGAATGGGATTTGCAAAAACTTAAACCTTCAAGTTACAAAAATACAACGACAGTCTACGTGTCCTAAATGATGATGGAACTACGCACACACAAGAGAGGCTGGACACCTTAAGTCGAAACAAGCAGAAGGGCGGTCAAAGATGAATAATGTGCGAAAGTTACGTTGTCTAGTTATCTTTCCTTTTCCCATTTAAATTTTCAAAGATCGTTTGAAGAGGGAGGTAGGCTAAAAGTATGTTGTCTGAATGTGAGCTCCTAGGTAAGGAATTTTTAAATTATTTTCTTATCTTTTTCTTTCGAGGGGTTGCAAATTTTCTAACTGCATTTGACAAAGTTTTGAAGTGTCATAAAACTAAAAGCTCCTTACCGTTTGAAATTCATGAATTGTTGGGAAAGGAAGGAAGTCTGCACAGTTCGTCACAATAATATTTTTTCACTTCCTATTCTACAAAAAAAGCCCATCCACGGTATTTACGTTTTTCTATTTAAAATTTTATCCATGAATAGCTTTATTTGGCCTAAAACACATCGTTTTATTGAATTCTGAGTTGGAAACAACTCAGAAACAAAAACGTCAAAATCCAACAGCATTTCAGAAATAACGTTTTATTTGTCTCCAACCTACAAGTAAAGAAACAATCCGACCTCCATTTTGTCGCTTTTCGTTTTTTCGTAAAAACTACAAAACAAAACTTCTGTTTCACGTTTTTCGTTTTGTATGCAAAGAAATACAAAAAAACAAGAACAAGAACAAGAATCAACTTCTATTTTAAAATACAGTTTTATGTTCAAACTTTAAGCATAAAACCAAGCACGAAAATCGACTTCCATTTTATCGTTTTCTGATTTACGTTTTTCTTGGAGGGGGGGGGAGAATTTGCCTTTTTTTTCAAAACAAAGTGTTGGCCCTCCCTTGCCTTTTAATAAAAAGCCTGCTGACCCCCACCTTTAGGTGACTGACAAAAGTGCGACACTCCCCTCACTACTGCATGGTATGTTCCATGCCGTAGAAACCTCAGGACATTTTACTTGTGAACGCAAAATGTTTGAATATAAATATATCTTGATAATGAAAGTGTGCGAGCTGAAACAAGAAAATGCGAACAATCAGTGTGAGATAGTTACGTTTTATAGCTGAGGTTTGAATATGGAAGTATAAACTTTGAGACTTTGTAAGTCCTTCTCCAGCTACACCAACTCCACGACCCTATCCCTCTTACAGCAGACTTTCCGACTTTCACTACCTACCAAGTACGAAAACACTTACGAGTAGCTGCAAACCTGATGATTATCAGCCTCGAGCTCAAATGAAACAGCTGGTTCAAGAGGGTAAGCTCAAAGCAGGGGATAAAGAGGCAATCAAAAATTTTTTTCTGAAAAATACATTGTTTCAGAAAAGCTTGTTGCAGATTATATTGAGCATCTAACTGACATTGAAATGAGAAAAGATAAGCGGCAAACAGATAATGACAGAAAGAGTGCAGAAAGAGAGCAACAGGAATACAATGACATTGACTGGGAAGATCTCTATCACAGAAACCAGTTGTCATCCCTTAGAGTAGGTGAACCTAAACTTTATATTAGTCACCACAATATTACATTTAAAGGAAAGGAAGATGAGAAAGTGAGGGTGGTGAAGGCACAATTGGCAGTAAGATTTTGACTTCTATTGTGCAGGACAGTCAAAACAACAATCAGCCAGCTTCTGACTCAAATTCAGAGACTGAAAGTGGCAGGGTAGAGCGCATTGTTAGATCTAGTGGTAACTCTTTAGAACTAAATGATTCAGGAGATCAGGCAGTGGATAGTCAATAGAAGAAAGAAGCTGAAGAAATTATACCTGAGTCTTGTAGATCTCCATACGGATAGAAAAGTATACGAGTCCTCCGAGAAAACTATGTGCCATGGCATAACATACATGTAGAAATGTAGCCTACAACCTATAATAAACACCAAACTAAATCAAAGTGGGTGAAAGCTACATCACAAAAATCCTCATTAAAAAATTCTGGAGAAGGTGTGTGACCCTCCCCTTGAATAGCTTACAAAGAGGTATGACCCTCCCCTTTTGGTGCTCACTTTCATTGATGACCCTCCTCCTGAAGCCCCTACCCTTCCCCCCCAAGAAAAAACGTACCTTCCCTAAGTAGTTGCTTTTGAAGGAATTTGGCACCGTGCGAAATGACAAAGGAGGAGTGAGAGAGGCCTGGCAATGGCAGGGGTAGCCCTTCCATTTTAGAGGAAGAAGAAGAGGCCAATGAGTATTTTTCAAATTTTAATTTGGACCACTTTTCCCTATAAGGAACGTTTTCGCCGCTTTTTCGTGAGTGAAAGAAAGCGCCAGTGGGAAGTTCGCGAGGCTTTGAAAACAATGAATCAAAAGTTGGCTTTTGTGACTTCTGATAATCCAGCGGCTGCCGGGAGATTCATGGAGCTTTATATGGAGTATAGGCAAATGTCGTTTCAAGAGCGAAATGGCCAATGCAACTATGTAAATTTTGCGAGAAGGATGAGACTACCAGCGCTCCACTTCCAACTCGACGACCACATCCCGACTATGGCAAGCTACCAAACTTCCACCATCTCTCTTGGAGTGCAACCCCCACCAATGGCCGTAAGCCGGACAACTTCCAGCCTCGAGCTCAGATTAAGCGATTGTTTGAGGAAAGTGAACTAGTCAGTGGGGACAGTGAGGCTATTAGAAAGTTTTCAGATAAATACATTGTCCCCGTAAAGCTTGTGGCACAGTATGTTCGGCACCTTGCCCAGATAAAAATGCGTAAGGAGTAGAAGAAAGAGGAGACTGAAACGGAGCGAATAGAACGGTTGAACCGGCAGTACAATGACATTGACTGGGTTGGACTGTACAACTCCGATGAGCTGTCGCCCTTGAGGGTGGACAAGCTATCCTTGTACTTTTCCCATCACAAGGTCACCTTCAAAGAGAAGAAAGCTGAAAAGGTCGCAATGATCAAAGGGCACATTGGCAGCTTGGTGCACGATTCAGTGGAGTGTCAACAACCTCGGTAGCCCTCGCTAAGAAATGTGCAGCAACATGTGACCGCAGTTTCTGAGGTAGAAACTGACTCGCAAAGTGATGAAGTAGATCGAGTTGTTGGTTCAAGCCCGAGTAGCTTAAGTGACGAGTCGTCACCGGAGACTGATTTTATACCAGAACCCCGCGCGGGAACATTACCGCCGTCAAAATATGGACGAAAGCGAGAACGGGTCGAGAGAGACGATTATGTAAGTGGGGAGAAGATAGCTTCTCTGGGGCATGTTTGTTGAAAATCCAGTTAACTTCACAGATCCAAAACCATAATTTAAAGTTCTCAAATTGAGGAATAGTATTTTGGGTCTTGGCTCAAAGACAAAAAAAACTGTTTAATGTACTCGTACTTATGAGTTTTCCATCTTGAATGTAAACACGGCCATAAAAGTAAGCTTTGTGAATCTGAATCTACAAGGACTTTCGCCGTCGAACTATTGAAACAGGTCCCTGGTTTCTAAACTCGCTTTTAATGGGTCTTAATTCGACACAGTTTGGGGGAGTTAACCCCAAAAACGTCGAGACAATTAATCGACGATTCTGAGGATAACCTGGTTTGCATAACGCATGTTAAATCAAAAGCAGCTGAAAAATCCAGATTTTAGAGATCGATCAGCGTAAGCTTCACCTTCATCAGCTTTTATTATCTTTCGGTAATTACTATCATCATATGCATTTCTTCCACAAATTTTCCGGTGTAAGTTGTAATCGTATCTCGCTGGAATTTTGAAAGGGTGCTCATTTCTAAGGCAAACCCTTTTAAATGAAACCGTTTTTCCCTTTCTTTCGCACCTTCCCTCACAATCCTCACAATATTTCATCGTTTATGTGTCATTAGCAAATTCCATGACCATCTGATGTGGTCTTACGGGCTCATTTTTATAAACACATGATATCCTTTGAATATTTATTGACGTGAGACTTTTATCTCAATCAACAGTTAGTGGAGAGCCAAAGAATCGCATTTTGATTTTCGTGTTCTGTTGCGGCTACAACTTACCATCATTTCAATTTAACTGACTCACAAACTTCCCGTTAACCAGTACATAAGAAACAGCTGTAATGTTGATGATCCCACGTAGTTGACTGAATCCTCCTAATAAGACGTAGATAATATGTATTTACATCTACTCATTAAAGCTTTTGAAGGACACCGTCATCAAATGGAAGCTCTTTACACCAGAAAATTAAAATTAAATAAAGTTTAGTTTACATAGTAAACTTAGAACTTATACTAATTTGACACTCATTTGTGTCAGCCGCTAAGCAACAATAAGATAAAAACAAATGAATACATTGTAAAAAGATCTCGTCTCTCTTTTACTCCATGGTGAGAACAAAAGTATCACGGTGTTCTGTTACAAACAGCGGATTGAGAAACTTTTTAAATTTACCCTTACAAATCATTAACATAGTGGAACTAAAGGAGTTCTCTACTTTCAGTATTCATTTGTTGTATATACCGGCCGTACGGGCGTTGTATATTATGTTTTACTCATTTTCGTTTGTCGGGTGCGGCTTTCGGTATGTTTATATCACCATTCCTTCTTTACCAGGACTTATCTCTGACTTAGAGCGAGTATAGTAGTGAAACAGGAACTTGGGAAGTAAATACACCCTCAGATGAAAACAGACAGGCATTGATAAATTAGTAGGAAACACTGTTTAATGGTAATGATGCGACTCACAAATAGAATTGAGTAAAATAAGGTTAATAATCGGTCCAATGATTTAAGGTCACATCCCTAATTTGACTTGCGGAGGCTTCCTCGTGGGAACAATTTAAGTCGATCAGTATGATCGACGTTTTGTAAATTTCATATCCACGCGACGCTTTTGGAATGCCGGCGGAAATAGTTAGACTTAAATTCACCTGTCAGAGTGGCCTACAAAAACTTCCCAGAAAAGCTAGTTAATCATTCTGATCACGACTGGGTGAACTGAAGAGAAGCAGACATGAACACAAGGTGGATTATACTCTTCTCCTTTTTTTATTTGCTGCTTCTGAATAATCAAGCAGAAGCCCAAACCTACACCCAAACGGGACCAATAGGCAAACGGCGCTTTCCCCTTGAAAGAATCGTTCAGGTATGTGACTTTTACTGAGTTCAGAGAGGTTGACTATTGTGAAAGTTTGTGAAAGTGAAGTTCTTACTTCTTTTCTTGCAGCACCAAGATCCAGGAGAGGAAATTACTAAGCCAACGGAGAGCTATAGTAGATTGAGACCAGTCGGAAGAGAGGTTCGTCAAAAAGAGGTTAGTCGTGAGCGAGCTTACTTAGCAGTAAACGGGAAGCATTCTGCTGGTTAAATGAAATAGAATTTATAATTTGGATTTTATTGTCCCAAGGAAAACATTCCAAAAGTAAGCTTTGTTTGTCTTAGAATGTACAAACTGTCAGTGTGTCATGCTACGCTCGACTAAAAGATGCAATGTGATCAAAAATCGGTAATTGTAGAGCGGGGAAACGACTTGATCCATTGTAAGGTTTATTTCTGGTGATCGGTTGATTTGTCACTGACGAATTATATTCATTTTTGTCTCTTTTGGTAGAGAAAAGACCCGAAACTGGAGGCTAACGAGTGGATGTACTGAGATGAAACGCCCACTCGCTTGGCTTGTGGATAAACTGTGAACTGTGAACTGTAAACTGCGAGTCCAGAAGTAGTACCTACTATTCATTCATTCCTTTTTTCAGTGATCGTAAAAGTACTGTGGAATATTCTAAAATAAAATGATTTGAAACCATTCAGGAGAACAGTATACTAATTGCTTGTCCCTAGTTTTATCGTCGGGGGGGGGGGGGGGGGGGGGGAAGGATATATGGGCTTCATTTATAGTTTGATTAATTGTTTTGAGTTAGATTAAAACTAAACACGAAAATTGACTTCCATTTCATCGTTTTCTGATATAAGTAGTTGCCTTTGAAGGAATTTGACGCTGAGCAAAATGACAAAGCAGGGGTGAAAGAGAGGCCTATCAATGGGAGGGGTCAAATTCGCAGTTTAAGCAGAACTCTTTCCTAATTAAAGGCCCTTTGATATCTAGCTCTTAAAAGACACAGCTGCTGATCGGCTTTGGTCATGAGTTTGTAAAGTACTCTGCAACACTTTAAGCGAAATAATTGTACATCGTGGAATCCTGTCAGGAGCACTGGTATATATATATATCTTTTTTTTGTCCGAGTATAACTGTGTCATTCACTGAACAATATCTTATCACACTTAAATCACTGGTCTTAAACATATACCATTTCCAATTTTTACATCGCCGTTGCGCATTAGCATTACATATCCATATTCATATCCTCACACAGCCAATAAACCGTGAAACACCTTTTTGTGGCACAATCATATCAAGAGAAATGAAAACAAATAAAAAAAAAAGAGAGAGAGAGAGAGAAAGTCAAATAGGCTTTTATGCTTATTAGAAAGTAGATTTATGAATATGAGCATGTTTAAGTTATTCGCTATTCAAAATACATCGATCTAAAGATTCTTTTCCCACACCTTTTTTGTATCTCTATTATTCAACAATAGTCCGTTTAAAACTTTAGAACGCAAGGAAAGGTATATGGAAAATGGTGTGCCAAAATAAAATAGTCAGAAAACAAAGTTCTAAATCCATTCTTCCCAAAATCATTAGCAAAATTTTAATTATAATTCATACCAGTGTAGTTTTTAGCATAAAGTTAATTTTTCTGGTAAAAAAGGTAATCACGCAATATGTCGATTTCACTTTTACAGTATATCACTTTACAGTCAAGTAAATCATGTTGCGTTGATATATATCACCCTGTCGAACTGCTTAGTCTTACGGCTACTAATCGCCGTGATCATCCCTTCATTTATTCACCTAGAATTATTAGACTCTCAGTCTCAGTACATCTACTACAGTCATGCCCTGGGGCCCGTTTATCCTATAGCCAGTTAACTTCACGGACCCGAAGCCATAATTTACAGATCTCAATTTGAGGAAGAGTATTGAGAGTCTTGGCTCAAACCCATAGAAATTTGTTTGATCTACTCGCACCTTTGAATTTCAAAGCGATCAAATTCTCTATCTTGAATGTAAACACATCTAATGAAACAAGCTTTGTGGAACTATAACTACGAAAAACGATTATGTAAAGCGGTTTTGTTGTTGTTTTTTAAGAAATCAGCTTACCCTCCACTGCATTCATAAATTAGACATATCTCCGAATCCTGGCGATTAGCTTAACAAAAGAAGGGAAAACCCTTTATCTTTATACCTGGTTTGCATAACATATGTTGAGTCAATAGCAGCTGAAAAATCCACATTTTAGATATCGAACAGCGTAAGCTTCACCTTTCATCAGCTCTTATCATCTTTCGCTAATTACCATCATCAAACACACTTCTACAACAAATTTTGCGGCGCTAGTTACAATCGTGTTTCGCTGGAAATTGAAGTGGATGTTCATTCCTACAACATACCCTTAAAACGAATCCATTTTTCACTTTCCTTGGCGTCCTCTATCACAATGTTTCATTGTAAGTGTGTTATTAGCTAATTCTGTGACCATCTGATGTGGTCTAAAGGCCTAATTTTTATCAACACATAGTATTAACCTTTGAATGCTTTTTGAGGTGAGATTTTCATCGCAGGTTAAAGTCAGTGAATAGCCAAAGAATTGCAATTTGACTTTTGTGTTTCCGTTGTGGCTACAGCAAACCGTCATTTTAATTTAACTGACTCACAAACTTCCCGTTAACCAGTACATTAGAAACAGCTGCAATGCTAATGATCCCACGCAGTTGACTGAATCCTCATAATAAGACGTGGACGTGTATTTATATTAACTCATTACAGTTTTTGAAGGAAATTTTCCTTAACTGGAAGCCCTACGCACCAGAAATTAAAATTGGATAGAGTTTAGTTTACAGAGTAGACCTAGAACTTGTACTAATTTGACAATCATTTGAGGCAACTGGTAAACTACAGCAAGATAAAAATAAATAAATACCTTGCAAAAAGATCTTTTGTCTCTCTTTTATTCTAAAGCGAAATAAAAGTATTAGGATGTGCTAATTTGTTTCACATGCGGGTCGTGCGTGCGTTTATATCAATGTTTCCCTCAGGTGTGTTTACGTTCCGGCTTTACCGAAACTTATCTTCGACTTACAGAGAAACTTTGTGTTGCATCATTCGACTCCGTCGTATCGTTTGATTAATTACAACAGATATTTCCATGAGAGTATACTGGCGAAACAAGAATTTAGAGAAGTAAATAAGCCTTCAGATGGAAACAGACAAGCATTAATAAATTATGAGGACACACTGTTTAATGGGTAACGATACGCCCCTCAAATAGAATTGAGTAGAATGACGTTAACTAACGGTCCAATGATTTAGGTCGACACCCTTAATTTGAATTTTACAAAGTCCGGAGGCTTCCATGTTGGAGCTATTTGAGCCGTACAGTAGATCAACTTCTTTGTAATTTCATAGCCACGCGATGCTTTTGAACTGCCGGCGGACAATAGTTAGAATTGGATTCACCTGTCAGAGTAGCCTATAAAAACATATCAGAATAACAGGTTAATCATTCTCATCACGACTGGGAGAACTGAAGAGAAGCAGACATGAACACAAGGTGGATCATACTCGTCTCTTCTTTGTTTTATTTGCTGCTTCTGAATAATCAAGCAGAAGCCTATGGTTGGTCGAAACCAGTGGGCAAACGGCGCTTTCTCCTTGAAAGAATCGTTCAGGTATTTGGCTGTTACTGAGTTCAGAGAGGTTGACTATTGTGAAAGTTTGTGAAAATGAAGTTCTCATTCTTTCTCTTGCAGCACCAAGATCCAAGTCTGAAAAATACTGTGCCACCGTATAAACAATCCAGCCCAGTCGGAAGAGAGGTTCGTCAAAAAGAGGTCAGTTGGTGTTTTAATTATGATGACATTTAATAATCGTGAGCGAACTTACCGAGCAGTAAACCAGCAGCATTATGCTGGTTAAATAAAATAGAATTTATAATTTGGATTGTATTGTCCCAAGGAAAACATTCCAATAGTCAGCTTTGTTCGTCTTGGAATCTACAAACTGTCAGTATGTCATACTACGCTCGACTAAAAGATGCAACGTGATCAAAAATCGGTAATTGCAGAGCGGGGAAACGACTTGATCCATTGTAAGGTTTATTTCTGGTGATCAATTGATTTGTCACTGACGAATTACAACTATTTTTGTCTCTTTTGTTAGAGAGAAGACCCGAATCTGGAGGCTGACGAGTGGGTGTACTGAGGTGAAACGCCCACTCGCCTGGCTCGCGGATAAACTGTGAAAGACGCCATTATATTGCTACGCGAGTCCAACAGTGACACTGACTATTATATTTTCCTTTTTCAGAGACTGTACGAATATCGTGGAATATTCTGAAATAAAATGATTTAAAACCAGACAGATAAAAATTATTCCTGTAGTTTTATCGTCAAGGTGGTTATGGGCATTTCGCATCCTCATTCATAGTTCTACTAATTTCTAAGAGTTAAGATTGAAACACCAAAGGAAAATAATGCTGACAGTAAGACCACAACTCAAAGTTTCTCCGAGAGTAAAACAACGATTAAGCTTAAAATAAAATAGAATGCTAATTGGGAACATCATGGTTTTCTCCCTCCTTCGGTTGATTGCAGTTGAAGGCATTTGTCCAGACTGATAGCATATTACAAAGAAACGATTTGGGAATGATCTAACCCCTAACCTTGAAAACACATAAAAAACAGAAATAAAAGGGAGACCAATTCCTTAATGCTTTCCTTGATTCAAAAGATTTCTGATGAAGGATACATCAATCTGATCCGATTTTCATTCAATTCCCATGTAAATAGACGAATTAATGTGCAAGACACGCAAGCACTCATTACCTGAAACAAATTTTAAAAATTCAAATACTTCACAATTTGGAGTTCTGACTTCGCTTGAAACCAACAGTATACAGAGCAAACGAATTGCATTCGTAGTTTAGCCGTCGACGCAGTGTATGATAATACAATCATTGCACTACCTGCTTTCAATCGAAAATAGCACACAAGTTATGATTCCAAGTAAAGTAATCAAGTAATCATTCTGTAAACGCCAGGCATCTTCATCAGATGTGGAAATGACTACAACCTTCAGAAGATCTTGGAGCGTGCTAGCTGCTGCATGACATAGCTTCTTCCAAATTAAATTTTTAATGCTTCAAGAAATTAATCATAACCGATCATTAAAGCCAGAAGGGGCTTTTTTGTTGCTGTATGTAGGAGTGTCCGCGTTTCAGAGGCGTGTTTGAACACTGAAACTTCTTTATTTAGTTAAAATTTTTAAGGAAGTATACATCCTTTTTTAATTCATGTAATCGGAAAGATAGTCAAATCTATCTTAATAAAAGCGGCGGAAAAACTTGTGAAAAAGGAAGCTATATCCCACCAAGTGAAGGCTTTGACATTTACAGTAGGGCTAGGAATAGGAGCAAAGAATGAGCAAGCTGCGTTTTGGGCGAGAAATCATACAAATTATACAGCTGAAAGCATTAGTTTTTGGCATTTTACATAACAACAATATTTACAATTAAAGCTCAGATTTCAACCTGCAGAAATGTCACTGGCAGTTTTCGGAGATCTTCTTAAACATTGCCACAGCGCCGACTATTCAACAGAAGGTTAAGGAAGGGGGATCAACAATAAAACCAGAAGATCCATAAAATTTACAGAGATTAACCGAAAATTCGCTTATATTATCAGGATGTCAAAATTGTATTCATAGAGGGATATAATTACAGAATGAAATCAATGTTCAGAATTTTTACATGATCAGAACGGAACGTGGTTGAGGTCGATGGTGCCATGGTGTCCCGATATTTTTGAAGCTCTTATCTCTGAACCATTCGGGGATTCCAGACAATATTAATTTGTTGCTAGCTCTTGCTTGTTCTTGAAAACACAATGGAGTGTGTCTAACAATCAGCGCTTTTCTTCTAATCTGGTGGAGCAGAGAGACTCCGAAATACAGCTCTTCAAAATACATCTGCAGTATCAGCAAGAAATGAGGTTGTACTGTTATCAACGCTGATTTTTCACTTGTTTACTATGTTCGTGTTCCGAAAGTATAGGGAAGCTCTTGGTGTCTTGGAAAACAACCCTAACTATTTCCCATAAGGGGACACTTAAGAGTATATCATACGAATATTTTTATCAACCAGGGAAGTAAGAATACATCTAAATGTCGTGGGTATCTGGCCAGTGTTATTGTCAGAAGATGAATACATTTTGTTGAGGGCAGCATTTCTCGTCCTTCGTGTATATGCAAACATTGTTCGCTTAAAGTATCTATACCAGGCAACTGGACCTCTTTCTCACTAACATTTTGTTCACCGGTAATCGTAAAACGCTTTTTATCTGTTCGTTTTTTCTAGTTCTAAAATCACTTTTAACCCTCCGTTTTGGCTCTTAACCGTGTGATTAACTAAGGAAAACCTGACGACTGTAAGTTAACTAATAGTTAGTATTTTGTTTGAGCTTCGTGCGATCTCAAGTAAATAAACATTTTTAGTATCTTAATTAACCCATGCAAACAAATCCAGGTGATTGTCTTGTTACTAATGGTAATTCAGTTATTGAGACCGATACCGTTTGTGAAATGTGAATAAAGAGATCAATCTGAAAATTGTTTTAGTTACAATAAGAAAAATGTCATAGGTGCAGCAAGAATTTTCATTGGCATCAAACCACCTTTAACGCCTTTTAATGATCACTGAACAGTTAAAGCGTACAGCGCTGATCCCTCGGTGTACCTCCATTATGGAAAAAGGAAATTTGTAATTGAGCAAGAGGAAACAGTGTTCTACATCCCCTTTTAATGACATGAAATCGTCAAAAAAACTGTCAGAAAATTACAAGATTACCGATCGAACGAAACAGATGACAAAATTGTCAGATTGTTTATAAAATTAACAAATAGAGAAGCCTTGACTGTGCTCTGTTCTGTTATAAAGCACGCAGATAGCGGCTAGAGCACGAAATAAGTGTAGGGAGAAACACGAGACTTGAGCGCTCTAGCCACTTTCTAAGTTCTTTACAACAAAATAGAGCACAGTCAAGGCTTCTCTATTTGTTTTATAATAAAGAATCCGCTAAATTCCCGATGCGTTACTTTCAATTTTCAAAACAAAATTTATTTCTAAAGCGAACAACAGTGTCGTCAGCATGCTCTATTCTCTCATAAAGCACGCCACGATAAGCCAATCAGAATCCCTGTTAGAATAGTTCAAATAATCTAATTGGCTGCACAAGACTAAAGCTGTCAAAAATGGCAAGCCATCAAAGTTCCAAAACCATCAAAGTTCACATTCTGCGATAGTTTACAAACTTAGATTGTTCGGCAGGTCGAATTTAACACTTTTGCCTGAAGGTTTTTAGTCTCTAATATAGAATCTGAGAGTGAAATTGTCAGTGAACTTCAGCCGAATTGTGGCTGGCAAGTTTTTTCACATGACAAGTAGAAAACAAACTGTTCAAGGTGAGTGTTTTATGAATGAACGACAGCCGAATAAAAATTATTAATAGACACAATTTAAGAAGGAAGCAGAAATAGTATTTAAAAACTATCTAGAGTCATATTTGAAAATCCTAACTATTTAAAAACTGTTAGCTATCTAAAATAAGTTATTTTGCAGACTTGATATAAAAGACTTTGTTGTTTTTTCACTGAGCTTTTGTTCTAACCTTTTTCCCGTAACTAGTGGCGCTTTAGTTTTCTTGGTATTTTTCAGCAGACCATTTCTCGATATTTTCCAAGTCATTAGAAAAAGCTTGACTAAAAAAAGTGATATTATTCCAGTTTGCACCTAAGGACAGGGTGGTATCGTAAGCGTGTATATCAGTGGTGGAGTTGTCCAGATTTAAAGGCATATCATTTACAAATAGGAGAAATAAAACTGGACCGAGGATCGATCCCTGCGGTACCCCTTGTCTGACAGGTTTCGGCTCCGATGTTATATGCCCTAGTTTCACAAACTTTCGTCGCTTTTCCAGATACGATCGGAACCAGGCCGTGCTATCTGGGCTGGCACCGCACATCGATAATTTCTTCAGTAACAGATTGTGATTGATTACGTGGAACGCTGTACGGAAATCAACAAAATGAAGATGGAAAAAAAAATGAAATGAAAAAACAAAAATGTAATTGAGTCACGTTCATTTCAAACACAGCAATTGGTTGACAATAGAAAATTCCAATAGACCCTGACATTTTGAAAGATTGTTGAGCCTTCTTACCTAGGGAACCTTCTGACGAACTAGTTTTTTAATTCAGACTTGTACCTGCCAGAAATGTTGCGAAGGATATAACCCAACAAAACTTGAATACAAATTGAATAGTAACGGAGCTCGCAGAGCGTAGCCCCATAATTATACAAAATAGTAGTAACCCATCATCAAGCCGAAAAAATTTGGATGTACGACCGTACGACCGTACAAGGTGCTACTTTTGACATGCGTGGTTACTGTACCGCAGGCACGCCAAGGCCTCGGCTTTGTCCAGTAGTCCAGTGATCAGTGCACTGGGCTCCGAGTCGGATGACCCGGGTTCTAGTCCTGGCCGGGGCAAGGCGTTGTGCCCTTGAGACGTGCGGGAAAAAAAAAAAAGCGAGCTCCGCTTTTTGGCTTAGCTAAATCTATCATCACAAGACAATCTCAATTCCAAGAGCAACTGATTCAATCATTAATAAAAGCATCAAATTTTCCGAGAAGATCGTTGAAAGGACTCTGTCTCTTGCACTACGAGCCGAACACAGCAGGAACGAGAGACAGTGAAAATTCACTCAATCCTAACATTTCGCAGGTGAAAGTGGTTATGAATGAAATTTTAAATGAGTCAGTCAGTCAAGGAAAGAAGACAAGAGATCTGAGGGAAAAGTTCCCTCAAAGTTTGTTGGAGACAGTAGGTCAACGAATCAACCAAATTTTACTATGGAGACAGATTTACCCTTTTTATCTCAAGATCTTGAAAAACAAGGATTTAGGATTGATGAATACATGGAAAAGAAGGAGTTCAGCTCACCATCAAGAGAACTATATTAGATTCAAGTAATGTGAAATTTCATCTCTTAACATCTCAGACGCTCGCTTCAACTTTCTTAACGAAGAGCTCGAAAGCGTGAGTTATAAAATTGTTCCCTGAGTGTAATATGAACCCTGATGATATACCATTCAATGCATTAGATGCATTAAGTTGACTCCACTAATTCAGAAAGGTCATATATTTGGTGAGTTTCCCTAATGGTCGCGGGTCGCGTGTCGCGGGTTTTAAAAAAGTCGCGGGTTTTGAAAAAGTCGCGGGTTTTGAAAAAAGTCGCGGTTTTTCTATAGCATGCCTATAAAAGAAAGTCAAAGCACTGGAAAAGCATTGGAAATAAAAAAAACCTAGTTAACAACAACAACAAAATAGTAATAAAAACAAAGAATACATGAAATCAACCAACTATTATCAAAACTTTCCTGTAGGGTGATGTTGTTGCATTTTGAGCAGAGTCGAATTTTGCACTGGAAATGTGACAAGTTTCTCATCAAATTCGTACACCACCGTTGTCATTGTAGCCCACAAAATTTTTTAAAAGTTTAGTAATTAATGTTATCATAAATGCAACCTCCTGTCTTGGCGCTCACATGGTTGCCTCGTTTGCTCGTTCGGTTCTTGTCCAGATGTGAGCGTAGAACGCGTTTGGGAACTTTTGAGAAGCCCTAAGAAGCTAGCGTTGCTCATATATATATATAAGTATCTTATATTTTTTGGCAGCCGAGTACAAGCTTTACGCACAAGCTTTACATCAATTTGATGGTTCTCGAGGTGCTGGAAAACGAGCTTCTTGACTTGTTCTCTCTCCAGGCTCAGTTGGTGGGCTGCCGCCGTATAAAAACAATCGCCATCACCTCTCGGATCGAAGGAAATAAAAAAAACCCATTTCTTTAGTCGCTGACGAAGCTTAAACATTCCTTGCTGACTCTCCATTCTAGAATGCGTAATTTTACAATGCACCGTCGCGCACTATCATCCGGGCTCTTGCTTTTCAGATCAAAAGGCGGGAAAACCGAAGGTGCATTCCATTTTTACAGTCTGATCAGTGGGACTAACCAAGATAAGCTATTGCAAAATTGAACATTTTCCGATGAAACCAGGCAAATCGGTCGGAATGGTCTTTGCATTCCGTTCCTCAGTGCCACGTGTGTACTAACCAGTTTATGGAAATGGAAAGGTAAATTCCGATACGATCAGGGCAACCAGTCAAACGATGCATTTTATTAACACTAATTTCAAACATTCGCTTTAATTTTATGAACCTTTCTTTGCATCATCATCAATTTAAATCATGCTTTTTTACAGCACCGTTATTTAAAGATGCCTTTATTTCGAGGAAAATCTACCTCGCCGTCAGAGTCAGTTGACATGTTGTCATTCAGTTGATTAAAAACATCTTTAGATTCGTAAATTTAACGGTGCTGAACGTGGCTGTTTTATTTTGTGAAATTTTAACGCACAGGCTTGAAATTCACTACGAAATAGTTCTTATAAACACACGCAAATTCGCGTTAATTAAATAAATAAATGCAAACTTAACTTTGCGAAAATTCGCATTAACGCGTAGATTTTGTCCTTCGTTATATTCATATAATGCAATCTTCTGAAAACCCGCGACTTTTTCAAAACCCGCGACCCGCGACCCGCGACCCGCGACTCGCGACCCGCGACCATTAGGGAAACTCATATTTGGTTAACTTTTTGAGCGGAGAATTCAGATATGTGTTTGCCTACATTATCCTTTTTCGTCCAATATTCAGTCACAAACGAACATATGAAGGTTTGCAGGAACTAAAAAAATCACGACCAAACCAATGATATTTAACGATCATTAGTTACGTGCCCTAAGTAACTATGTATAAGTTATTAATGACTGTGCAGCTTTAGGAGGTGTGATAAAGAGGCTCTATGAGTTGGTGAACTTGGCACTCAGAGCAAGGCGGAAAGGAATAAGTGTTTGGGTAATTAAACTGGCAAATTGAAAATATTGCAAAATCATTCAGATAGAAAATCGCCACAATAGTTCGTTTCTCCACGCCAGCAGTAAAAGATATGAGACAATATTCCATAGTTATGCAGCGGAGAGCTAACGAATGATCAGAAGAGGAGATTGAAGAATGAACGCAAGCGAGTGAAATTTTTTCGTCTCCTATTCTCACTGACATCGTTACGAAATTGAAAATTTGGTAAAATATTCCCATTTGTTTCCTCAAATGGAATCGGTTGAAAAGTTTAAAACGATTTAAATGATTGGACATGATCTTAATCAGGATCCAGTCAAGAAGCTTTTTGAAAAAGAAGTTGATTAGTACTACAGAAGTCTTGAGGCTTCAGTATCATCCAATATTTGTAAAGCCATAGTTGATATATTTTGTTAGACTTCATGCAAAGAATTGACGCATTTTCTCCCTCTTGATAAAAACAAACTTCCCAAGGATTTGAATAATAGTTTTATGGCAAGAGAGAACTCGGAATGATTGCCGATAGATTGAGTTTGAACTATGGAAGGTTCATGGTGTTGGCGAGTGCTGATATTACTACTGCCAAGAAGAAAGACCCTGGAAGAGGAGTAGCTTGCAAAAGACTTGCGTAACATTACAGGTAAAGAAAAAATATTGAGGTGATTTCACCTGGACTGAAACAAAATCAAATGAGACAGAGCAACCCGAAGCTTCAACAATTCCACTCAAGCGAATTCTTTCAATTACAAGTACAGTTCTTTCAATTGTTAGTCTTTATTACAAAAGGAAAGAGAAAATTGCACTTGTTAAGAAAAAATACTAAGAAATAAAGCCACAAGCATTCAAAAGACCACCGGAAGCACCTTAAAGTCTAAAAGCTTTGAGAATTTTAGAGAAGATCAAACCGATGGATTGATTTCCAATACATTATTTTCATGACAGAGAAAAAATCTCTGATAACAAATTTGTGAAAACATTGACTGATGCAATTACACTAACTGGTATTGTAGCTGGTATTGAATGGCTTTCAAAGAAAGTTATCAAGGAACCAATGAATTTTGATCCTAGTTCAAATCTTATGAACTATGTGGAATTCACAATGGATGTTGTTGCCACTTCTTCATGCAATAAAACAAAATCTTGAAGACTACAAGATTTTGCCTTTTTTTTTTCATATATCAAAATGGGAAGTGTGATCACGAAAATAGTAAGAGAGACCATCCAAGAACTAATTGAGATTACAAAGAATCTGTGGTTGAAGAGGAAGTTAATGAACGGTTGCCCGGAAAGCACGGTGAGCCGACTAATAAATAATTAGGATTTCCTTTTTAGAACTTAAAGAAAATGGCAAGTAAAGCAACAATGGTTGGAGGAGTGATTATCAATGCGACTACTTTTGTTGGTGAAAGCTATTTGGAAAAGTATGAAGAGATAAAGCGTCATGATCTAGCTGTTTTTCTAACAAAAATAGCTGGTGCTTTGGCAACTGGATTGGCTGCGAGTCAATTTTCAAGTAAATCCACAGAATGGTTGAGGAGACTTCCAGAAGTTGCTTCAGCTTTGAATCGTGAAGAGACTCGTTTTGTTGATGCAATCAGAGAAGGCTGTTAGTGCAAAAGCCATCAAGTACTTATTCAGTACTTATTCAAACAGTCGGCTCGAAAGAGAAAAGAATCAATTATTCAAAGAAAATGAGATATTTGTATGCTATTGTTGATTTGGAAGGTGGTGAGAGACGAGCAACAGATCCAATTTATTCTCTAAAAGTTTACAATATAGAGAAATCTATTGCGTCATTTTTACTGTAAGGTTCACCCTTATGTCAACCATAAGGCTAACCTAACACTATCATTTACTCTAAGGCTACCCTTAGTCCTAAGCCTACCCTTAGTGCTAAGACTACCAGCACGATAGGATAACCCTCCCTTTAACCCTAACCTGTAATTTCAATCCATACCCTTACCCCACCGCTAACCCTGTCCGTAACACTAACATTAACCCCAACCCTCTCATTTCACAGGTGATTACTAAGGCTCAAAGCGTCATTGGATATACGCGCCCTGCACTAGATCCAATAATGCTGTGAGCCTCTTTTAGAATTAATGACATGTATAAAATCTCATTGTTCTCTTTCTGCATTACAGCAACGATTTTAGTCGCTCTAATATTGACGCTGTGGTACGCCAACAATTTAATTAGCATGTATTATAAAGTAGTGGTAAAAATTGCTTAATCGTCTTTTATTGCTCTATTCGGGAAATTTAACACCTTTTTAAGATGATGTAACTTTCCCTACCCGTCAAGAGAAAATTCTTTGTCACCTGCATGTGTGAACGGTGTTCTTAAATCTCATGACAAAGAGGTATTTGCATAATATAGAAGGCAATGTATTTGGTCATATTGAGTAGTATGTTAGAGGGCATTCCTTGGCTTACAGATTTCTATTATGAAGGTGTATGGAGGATTCTTTAGAAGTCGAATCTGCACTTTTCCTAACGCAAAGCCAGAGGTGGAAGAATGCTTCTGTTGTTGAAGGTAATTAAATCTTCTGACATTTTCGTTTCTCATTTTTTAACTAAGAAAAGGTTATCTTGTACTTTTCTTTCTTTAGAAGAGCAAGGATTCAGAAAACCAAATACGTCATTTGAGTGCGAGAAGTTTGAAGATGGGTATCGGACGTAAGTCATCGAAAATGGTCAATTGTAAAAGTTCGTCAATTGGGGAAGAGGCAAAAAAAGCCCTTTTTAAAGGTCGCAGCAATCGTTGCCATGGTAACAACGGCTGCTTGTTCGAGGCCTGGGGCCTCATTTTCATACAAAACGTCGGAAAAAAAGAGTGAAATGTTTATTTCTCTATCTCAAACTAAATACAACATTACAAATTGGCACAAATTTTTCCTATGGAAAGTAGAGGCAGGCCCGCAGAGATTTTTATAACCAGCTAGGTTGGTAGTTTTAGTTCCAGAGTCGGTGTACTTTTGGAGAAATTCAGATAAACGTTTTCCCTGTTTTACCCGACAACAAAAATGACCTAAACTGTACCGAGATGAATAATCGATTGGTGTGTTCACATTCACTCCCAGGGAAAATTAAATACATCAAAGTGAAGACGAATGATGTCACTATGCATGGTAGAAGTGATTATCTCTGTCTATTTATACGCAAATACTTACTGAACCTCGTTTTAATGAGGGCCAGTAATCATTTGTGTATGACACCGTACTCTTCTGAAACGGAGCTGTAATTCCAAATTCAATCTATTGTTTCGTCGTTGGTTTTTTTTCTATCCAAAACCTGCTGCATGATGATTGTGCGTAAATCTTGCCAAAATCTGAATTCACTGCACTCTGACAGGTATAAAGCAGTAAAAATGAAAGGCAACAACATATTAGGCTTAAAAAGTCTTTCTAATTTAAACATTTTTTGATTATTTTTTAATTTTTTTTAAATTTTTTTGAAATTTTTGCATTTATTAAAATTATTTTTAAATTATTTTTTTAATCATTTTTTTTAATTGAACTGGTGAGCGGCACTTTGCGAACAGTATACGTAGTTGTAAAACTTCATTATTCTCCGACGCGTTTCGTTTAATTGTCGTAGACTTCTTCAGTGAGTTTTACAAGTAAAAACTAAACGCCTGTATTTATAAGCCATAGTTAGCGGCTATAGGGGGGGGCCAGTGACCATAAAGTCTTGGCCGGACATACGAACAGGAACAGGCGAAGTTGTGAAAAATTTGAAAATTTTTAGGGCAAGGTGAGAAAAATTACAATTTTTTTAATTATTAAAAAAATTTAAAAAAGGAATTTAAAAACTAATTTAAAAATTGATTAAAAAATTAATTACAATTTTTTTAATTATCAGATCACTGGTACAAGATAAGAACTTTGGAAATCGTAAGCCGATAGTTGTAAGGCCATCATCAAAGCATGAAAATCGTTTGAAATGGATCGTTAGGCGGCTTGTAAAGTGCCCAAAATCTCAATTAAGCTAATGTAAACGCTTAGGTCAAGCTTCTTTGAATCAAGTTGAGGTATCTGAGAGGAATGATGCATTGAATTGTTTCAAACACCGGGCAGAATTTTTAGAGGGTGAAAGAGGCAAATTTTTCTTGTTCTGAACATAAATGAGGCTTGAAGAGAAAGGACTTATCAGAGATAGATTACTCTTTGTAACAGAATTGCTCAACGTATTCAATTATGGCAGTTTTGAAACAATAACAGTATAGTTATATTTACAAACCTTACAAAGTACAAACCGAAAGAGCTGAGCTAAGGCTGGATAAACAATACTATGGAGCTGAGGTGTAGCTCAATGAAAAATAGTATTAATTTATTTGATAAATAATGATTTAAATGATGTAAACGATAAAATGATTAAGAAAGACTGTGTGGAGCATGAAACGTCGTGGGAGTTTTTCTTTTCGGATTTGCACGTTTTTTTCTTTAGGCTCGGGTAGTGAAAATTTTCTGGTCAGAGCTAATTCGCGAATTCCTGTTCACGTCGCATAACGTTCACCATGAAGGGCACCGAATATTTTCAATTTTTCTACCAGTCGAGCTAAGTAGTAAGGAGCCTTATGACGAGTCATTGATTTTGATTCACTTGAGGTAGTAATTTCAAATAGCAAGCCATTTCATGATTTCTTGATTTTTTTTCCTTCGCGGCTTTGCTAATATGTTTGGCGGATCAACGACTATCTGAAAATCTGCGAAACTTAAAACCCGAAAATTCTTTAGCTACACAATAGAAGTAAACTGGACTTAAGAAACCTAACTGTGTGTAAATAAAGAAGCATTGTCGGTATAACCATATGAATAATCCATCAAATATTTTTGCACGCTTTCGATCAGTCTAAACGTATCACGTGATCAAATATGCCTCAGCTAAACCTTGGAAGTATCCGAGGATATACCCCAACTGATATTCCCCAATTTTCAAACCTTACGTTGACTACAATTATTGCATGCGTTGAAATTCAATTCAGAGGTGTTTAGCTATTAATACAGAACGTGGGACATGTTTGTTCGTAAAATCGAACCAGAGAACACTAAAACGTAACTCTTGGCAAAAACAACATCTCATTCGTTTGCTGGTCTCACTCGTGAGATATTGTTCTTGCCACTCGAATATTAAATTTATACTTCCTCGCCACCGTGTACATGTGGTTTTCTTTTGGTTGGCATATTAATTTCAAGTGAGATATGACATCCTGTTTGCGTGCATGCTTGACTTAAAATATTATCATTCAGCAAAACTTGTCCTTTATTTCTTCGCAGCATATGTTTCTTTCCTAACTTTACAAAGATTTATTTTAAGTTAATCTGCATTCTCAGAATTAGCCAGTGAGGCGATCTACTGGCAATAATATAGATGTTCGCGTCAGAAACCGCGAGGTGAATCCGATCAAATGCGATCACTATCTGGTTCAAAACTGACATTTACATGCCCTTTTTCCTGTACAGGAGACAGATTACTGAAATCAGTGCCACATCTTTGACTTGCCTGTTCTACTCTATTAGGACAGTGACCTGTCCCATTCATCAAATTAAAACTTCCGTTTTCGATGGTAAGTGCCTCGGGATCCTTGGTTTCCATAGAACTTAACAATTCGCCGCCAAAGCTAACTCGTCGTTTCTCTGGATTACGTCCTGAAAACCCCTGACTTTGAGAACACGTCGGAAATTTTGACAATTCCAGGATAGCTTCCCGTTCAATACTTGTAAACGATAGACATTTGATTTCAGCTCTGGTCTGCCCAGTGACCACTCTGCCATAGCTGACCACTTGATTGTCCGAGATCGAGAGTGAGTTTCTGTGGACTCGGTCCAGTGTGAGGCTTTCCGATTGTCTTCGTTGTGCTTGTTTGCTAACAACACTCGCAGTCCGCCGTCGCTCTTCAAGTTCATAATTACAGTTGCATCGCAAAGCGTTTTTAAAAGCCTTTCTAAAATTTTTATTGAGCACAGCATAAACTATTGGGTTTGCGACGCTGTTTAGCAGCCCCAAAAAATTTCCGACAAAAACAAACAAATCTGGCGCATAATAACCCGGGCTTGGAGGAAAAATGTTCAAAAGTTTGTTGATCATGTACGGCAGCCAACACAAAGCAAATAACGCTACCACCAGAAATAGCATTTTAATTATTTTTCGTTTGCTCAGCAAATCTTTTGCTTTACTTTGAGATGTTTGTTCGCCGGGTTGCTGACGTGTGTACAAACGGCGTCCAATTAAAAAATAGAGAACTGATATCTGTAGAAGAAAAAGAAAGTAACATGATATCCGGTACATTTGGTACGAATGCAAAGCTTTTGAACTCCTCCAGGACTCCTCGCACTTGGCTGCTTTTATTCCTTTTGAAACGACGTCATGGTGAAACAATGAAGCAAGGAGAAGAAACGGCGACACAAACCAAATGACACCAACAATCTTTTTGGCACGGGGAGGGGTGATAAATCGCTTCAGTGGGAAAAAAACTGACACGAAGCGGTCATACGATATGGCTAACAAACTTAATGCCGACGCCATTACTGACATATGCACCAAAAACGACAAAATCCTACAGCCTGTCTTTCCATAAGGCCACACTGGCCAAGTCAAAACATTGTACACAAAAAATAACGGCATGCAAGTAGAAGTAACTATGACATCTGCGCCAGCCAGCGATGCTATGAAAATGTTCGTTGTTGAACGCATGCCTCGGTTGATGATTACCGATACTATTACCAGAGAGTTTCCCAATGTTCCGAAGAAAATCGCCAATATGTTTGCGATGGACAATCCCACGACGGCACTTAAACTGGCACCGCTGTTGCTGTCTGAATTTTGATATCCAGTTAAATTGCTGGTTAAGTTTGTCTCAAGTGGAGTGCTGTTCAGAAAGTAATTCATTTTCCCTTATCCTTGTCTAACTCACTAAGATTCTAAACACACGATTAGCTGTTGGTTGGTTTCTTTTTAAGTGTTTCCCTCAGATGCTGTAGGTGCGACCCACCGCCAATTCAGAATTATTTCTGATCGAGGTAACCATAGAACTTGAGGAGGCTAAAGTTGAATCACCGAGTATCTACGAAGAAATAAGAAAACTGAGTGAAAAGATAACAACTCTTTCGCAAACGATCATTAGGGTTGAAAGGCCGCCATGAGACAAAAGTTGATCAGTGTTTTCTACCTCCCATGGGAAGTATTTTTCTCAGACAATCAGGCGCCATGCACATTAACAGGACAATTTTGCACACCAAAAACATCCTGAATTTACAGTCATCTGCTAAAATGTAATTAAAAGACGTCTATTGTTACACCACACTTTTTGAGGTTAAGCCACGAAAAATAACTGATAAAAAAAGAAACTTTTAAATACGCTTTTAACCGCCTTGCACTACGTAAATGAGCTTAAATTGGAAAGATAAGAGTTTCGAATATTAGAATATTCAGAGTTATTTTGGTTGAATTGTCAGTGGAAGGCGACATTATCAACAGTTTATTTACCATTCTCCCACAAACACAATATTCTGAGGACGTAATAGAATGGTCCTTGCTGTCACCGGCATGTGCTCTAAACTAGTTATCTCGAAAAGGAAAACAATCATTCCTTGTTAATGGCCCTTAGAAAATAGCGCTTGCAGCATAATAAACACAGCAATATGTTTATGCTTTTTTACCCCTAATAACAAAAAAAAAGTTGTGAATAAAACGACCAGATCTCCTTAACAGGTTTACTTCGAGTTACGCTCAAATGAGCCTTGAAATAGAGGAAGTAGGTTTAATGATATAAGAGCCTTGATTATCTTTACTTTGGAAGGTCTTCGGTTCAAACGTTCAACTAATCACATTCATTTTTTTTTTAGTATGGAACTTCGAAGGCTGATTTGAAGGCCAGCCCACGAGACCCCAATAACTACGCTTTTACATCTGTTCAATATAAATTTGTAAATGGTATGGTCAGTATTTGTATCCACTATGCAAAGTATCGTGTAAGGTAAGTCCCGCAACTGACAAAAAATTTAAAGGTTGAATGAGTTTATTCATCATGACTTACCAAAACCTAAGCTGTAAAAATTCTATATAAATTAGGGATTTGTCTAATTTGCGGAGATTTACCATCGAATGAATGAAAGATGCCCGCTGAGGATTGTTATCCAAGAAATCGAAGAAATTATTAATTCTGTTTGGGAAGTATACCAAACGTCAACAGGAAAACAATTTCCTGACACCCTTTGTCACCAATTCTGGTCTACCGTAATGAAAATCACAATGAAAAACCGAAAAGAAGTTAAATTTATAACTGAGGTCGGACTTCAAGTCTTTGATCTTTTCAGAAGTAATGAAATACAACTGCACCGAAAAATAATTTTGGCATGTGTGAAAATAAAAGGTTTTAATACCTCCTGACGTACGAGATCGCTGACAGATAGGCAATATTATTGTTTCACGCTGATTCAATGGAAATTCTCATTGTTTTAAAGCTTAAAAAGCCTACCGGTGAGACTGAAGTGAAATCTCCTATTAAGTGAATATAAAAGCAAATCTCTTGGCTTTCTTTGACACAAACATGACGAAATTTATCCAGCACAAATCAAAATTCAATAGTCGCGGAATAATAATTACATAAGTAGAAAAGAGACATGACTTTTGAGGGGATATGGTTCTTAACGTTCATTTTCGATTATGCTTATTAAGAGGTTAAAAATAGTAAACATATCAGCCATAACAAAGTTACTGAACAAAATATTCAGCGAAAGTTCGTTGTAGGTGACCGAAATATCATTTTGTTTTGTACAGAGCAAGATTACATGAAAGATGAAAACGAAGAAAATTTTTCTTTGTGATCATAAAAAAGTGCTTAAATCTGAGGCAATCTTTTCATTTCAGTTTATAGATTTATCAAATTCTGAATCTAAAATAAAGGAAAATAAGCTTGTACCTGTGTTACGCCGCCCGCCACCAAATGCCTCAAAGAGACTTTAGTGAAGTAATGGCGTTCTTAATCAATAAACCAGAGTGACACTGAAAACAAGATGCATCTGGCTTTTTTAGTCTTTTTCTGCACTCATATGTACACCTCACTGAATGCTCAGCACGCTAGGATTTCCTTTAACAACTTTTCAAAAGGCAACCTGACAGGTGAAAACTGCAATATGACGTCACTATTCGAAGCCTGTGTGATGGACTACCGCACCGCCTTGTTGGCAGGTATATGTCGTCAATCATCTTCCACCCTATTGTCGTAAAATATTTTATCACTCCTCTTCACTGCGTGAGTCAAAATTTTACTGAGATACGTACTCTTTGCGTTGGTTGTGTTTACGCTTAAGCCTTAACATTGCAACTGTGTAAGAAAGAAACATTTAACGTATTTGAGGGCGCTGCCAGTATGGTTCCATCTCCATGTCCAATAAAGCCTGATAACTTGCACTTAGAGATAAGCAAGGCGAAAAAAATTATCTTTGCACATTAATATTGGATTGGAGTAGAATAATGGAGTTGTTTAACATGTTCGAAGATATAGTAATATAAGTAACAAAAGCCAGTTGTAAGTGTCAGTTGTTAAGTGTACGTGCTAATTGCCAGTTAGAAGCGTCGAATGACAGCTATTTCCAATGATGCTTTCAACAAGCCCAATATCTCTATGTCAGAAGAAAGCTAGTCACAAATATTTTGACATAGCAACAAGGTCAACAAATCGAATAAGATCCGTGGTAAGTCCTTATCCCAGAGCGAAAAAAACGAATATTACATTTAAAAAAAATAGTCCGTATTTGTAGATAAAGTGTCCCCGTAATCAAACGATTACTGTTATGTAGAATGAATTTCTGGCTTCCCTCTCAGTACACCGATAAATGGGTGATTGACCGCCGACCGCGGTCTAGAAGTTCCCAAGTTCCATTAAATGGTTTACAGGTAACATAACTACCTGAATCTTCCCTTCAACTTCTTTCTTGTCATGCCAATATTAATCACTACAGCTATAATTCAAGAGGAGCTTAAGACTGTGTACAATACCTATACCCCTAAAATACACTTCTAGTCCTCAAGTGAAGTGTTGTTATTGTTATTATAATATTTCTTCATTAGACATTCGGTAAAATGGGAAATTTTTACTTCTAATGGATTTTTCTACTAAGTGAGAATTAAAGATGTCATTGGCGGACCTTCCTGTTTACTATCACGACTCCATCCTAAGTTATATGCGCTTTTCAGATGTAAATTGGAAACAAAACGAAATGGATCAGCTGGATTGTGAAATCGCGTACCGTTCAATTGTTCCGATCACGTACAAGGATCTACAAAACTAAATTGGCAGCGCAAAGACAACATACCTAGGTGTTGCGTCGAGTTGAAAAAAAAATTATTAGAGAAATTTGAAATGTAAAGAAAAGTACTAAAATTTGTGGAAAGCACTTTTCTTAATTCGTTTTCACCCCTCATCCACACAAAAGGATGAATATTCGGTTAAGAATATATGAAAGTCATATATTTGAACTACGGATAAAGACGTGAATGAAAGTGATCCTCGCAGTAATGTGCACTACATAGGCAGTAGTGAAAATAAGGCCTGAAAAAAATTCAGGCCTGTACGGGATTTGAACCCATGACCTCTGCGATACCGGTGCAGCACTCTACCAATTGAGCTAATAAGCCAACTGGGAGCTGGTCATGATGGTGGTTCTAAATAAACCCGTGAAGTGATGAATAGACGGTTAAGAATATATGAAAGTCATATATTTGAACTGCGGATAAAGACGTGAATGAAAGTGATCCTCGCAGTTATGTGCACTACTTAGGCAGTAGTGAAAATAAGGCCTGAAAAAAATTATTATTTAGAACCAACATCATGACCAGCTCCCAGTTGGCTTGTTAGCTCAGTTGGTAGAGCGCTGCACCGGTATCGCAGAGGTCATGGGTTCAAATCCCGTACAGGCCTGAATTTTTTTCAGGCCTTATTTTCACTACTGCCTAAGTAGTGCACATTACTGCGAGGATCACTTTCATTAAAGAATGAATATTGTCCTCTTTCACCACTAAGGAATTTTCGGTAATTTTTTCGGACCCAAAATTTAAGTATTTCTGATCTTAGGTTGATTTTGTCCTCCGATCAACCCACGTGTTGACTTCAATCGATAGAATCGACTTTGAACTTTGAAGAATTCGTACTCTGTCAGTGTGAAAAAATTCCCTTGAAATTTACTGTGACCTTGACATAGACCCCTGTGTGGTTTTCACGATCACATCAAGAAGTGGCAAACTTTTAGTAAGGGTTCTTAGCCACCTTACTTTTCGAAAACATACGGGTTTTGTGAATACAAAGGATCAAGGGCTGCTACGTCAGGAAAAGGTCTTATCACTGAAGGTTCTTGAACCAACTAATCCAGATTAATACTGAAAAGCACAAAGCTTACACCTTTACTATCATTAATTTATTCACATATATTCAATAATCGATTATTACACTATACGTTGACAATTTACAGCTTAACAGTGTAAGGAAATAACATTTTCTGTGTCATAAGGAACCTTCTATTATCTCTATGTTGGGGACAGCTCTCAGGTTGAACTACTATGAAGCTTTAGGGCCATCTCCTGTTTAAAATGAAAAGGTAAAACAGTTGTGTTAGAAAATTTTATTTTCTAGCATTAGATCATTTGTACGCGGGCTAATTTCGCCGCTCGTGTCGCAGCGCTAAGAAAAGGCAGCTCTCAAGCTGTGTGAAGTATCATGTTTAATAGTACAGTGTATGTTCCACATCATAAGATGATCATGAGATTGTAACACACCCAGTCGCCGTTGTATGATTGTCCACATACTGTACCCTGAGGGGATTTTTGAATGAGTGACATGGGAAACATGAGGAACTGGTGGAACAAAACTTGAATATTGTCTGGTCGGTAATTTAAATCGAGATAGACCTAGATTATTATCTGCAGATCTGAAAGGCGACTGATGAAACATAACCCCACAGTTCATTGAAAACTATACATGTTACTGACTTTTCTCTAACCTTTGTAAGCGTATTCCAAAGCACTTGCTATGGCTGTCATGTCAGCCTCTATTACTCTTGACCAGTTTTCCACGTCGCCAAGTTCCTTTCGAACAAATATACTGAGCATGAAAAGAGAGTCTTATTTGACAGGGCTTCTCGGCGAGACTACATTTCTGAATTGGAGGGGTGAACCTCATTCAAAAAGAGTCTTGTTTTAATTTGCATCACATTTGTTAGTATGAATCGTGCGATAGTTGAAAGAACCTTTTGCCTCGTTTTGTGCATTCGTTGCATTAGAATTTGAACATTGGTACAACGTAAGTGTGCTTTTACCCAAAAACCCTGCCTTGATAGGAGCCCTGACTTTAAACATACAGAGAAAGAAGCTAATTACCTTTAAAGCCTTATTGAAAGCCTCCAACATCTGAAGCCATTGTACTGTCTGTTTAGAAAATCTTGCTGAGGAGAGTATCAAAGGGCGCAAAATTTGACATCAATTAGGAAACAGGTTGTCTCTGAGCCTACACCAAAACATAAACATTGAGGGCAAAAAGCGTGGATCAATCCTGGGTCCACCAGGATACAAGTCCAGTCCCCTAGCCACTCAGCAACAGCCCATTCCTTGAATCCTTGTTTGAGAAAACCATAGAAGCTTCTCTGGGTCTACCACAAACATTTATAACATACTGTAGTGTTGTTCCTTCTGGGAAACATATTAGGAGATACTGCAGTCAATCGCAGACTTAACTAACTGGCCAATAATTTTAATATTAATAAACGCCACTATAAGTTTGCTTTGAGTTTGAAACGTCTTGCATCTAGCTGTTAGACGTTTCTTGCAAGTCTCAACATCACGACACCATTTTGATTTTATTTAAGATCTTGAACAGTACAAAGACAAAACACATTGGACCTTACAACTCACAAAACATAACACACCATCTGGAGTATTTTCAAACCTGCATGAGCTTGTAACTGCTTGGCCTCTGTTTCTAATTTGCGCTGATTGACATAAGCTTGTTCTACACTGTGGGAAGTAAAACAAATCACCTTTTTATTACATTAATAAAAAGGTAGAATGTTAAATAAAAGCCAAAATTATGCAATCCACGAAAAAAACTACTTCCAGATAGAAAGCTCCATTTCCCACCTGAATAATATTTGTCATTCAAATCAATGGGAAAATGGGGAAAGTAAATCAAACCTGCCATTTACATTTCATTTTCAAAATAGTCAGTCCATCTCATCAAAGATTTAAAACTAATCTAGGATCTAATGTGAGGAGAGATGGAAACCTTAAAGTAGGAGAAAAAGTGTGTTCAGTGATTTTGTCGAGCCTAAGATGGTTAAAATAACAATCCATCTTTTCATCCTAATTTATTTTCCTTTGAAATAACCTTTTTAACCTTTCACATCCCAAACTCAGTAAGCACATTCTCCATATGTTCTCTGTAAATTTCCTAAGGTACTGAAGGGGGGAATTTGTTTAAAATCATGAGCTAATCTTTAGTTGGCAGTCAATTTTTCAAATTAACTTAATCCTGGTAAGGAAACTGCCCCTAAAGCAGCTGAAGTACACCACACTGCAAGAGCCAATCTTAGTTTCACTGAGGATAACCCAACAATTCTCTTAATAGAGGAGAGGCACTGAAAAAGTAGAGTGCTTTGCCTAAGAAAACAACACTGGAACACAGCCAGGACTCAAACACAGACCTATAAATTGAGAGTCCATTACATCTCCCAAAAGCAAAGTGGGGCCAACAACTTTGCATGCTAAACAACCAGCTGTATGTGCATAAAAGTTGAGGTCATTCAATATGTTACAATAATGGTAAGCAATCACTGAGCAAGCCAAACAATGTTTTATCACTTACCCAGTGTTAAGAGTGTCCATTAGTTTGTATGTTAGTCTTGAGGATGCTACCACAGCTTCTCGTCTTAAGTGTTCTACGTCAATGACAAAATAAAAAACACTGAAATAACACCATAATATATTATTTGTTTCTTTAAATGAACAGGTACTCATGAAACAGGGTGACTTCAGACGATTTCTTTCAGAGAGATATATCTCTAGTAAAGGGGAAAGACTGTAATTTTGTAAACTGCAACTTAAGTTTTCATTTTCTGTACCTTCCTTCCTTCTTTTACATGTACCTTGCAGCTACAACCAGTTACAAAATGTTGAGAGTCACCTTGAGCAAAAAGTGCACTTAACAACTTCATCAGATGGCCAAAAAGAACTTTAGTGCAAAAAAACTACTAGCTGCCCCCATCCTGACTCATCAAGGTTTTGTACATGGTACTGTTTAGCTACCAACATTAGAAAGGGAGAAATAAATTATGTTGGATCACATGGTGAACAATTGTCTCTTTTCCTGTCATGGTAACATGTCTCAACTACTTTTGCAGCTGGTTGTAGCAGTACACCTTTGTATGGCACTGCCCATCTTGTACAGCCCTCAGGCTTTTTGTCTCATGTTTTTCAATGAAAACATGTCCAGGACTATACTGGGCATTTGAAAATATTATTGCCTGGCTGGCTACTGACAGCCTTTTGGACTAAGTATAAAGGCTTTCTATACATCTTTCAGGTTTTCAAGCAACATTATTAGCAAATAACATGGAACAAACCTTTAAATTAAATGTAGCTCCTTACAAATATTTAGCAATTATTCTAAATGTGCATGTTGGATATGAGATGGTAAAAAGCCAAATAGACAGTAGTGCTGAGTCGCCATAACTAAACTTGTGTCCAACAAGTGTGAATAGAATAATTGTCTTTAAGTTATTAAATTTCATCAAATCCTGAATGTTTGGATATTTGGAGCCTTTTCTCAACTTGGTAACCAATGGCACAATGCATTCCCATATGAGATGAATCAGAATATCAGCTGATAACCACAGTTGGGTGAACAAATCAGACCACTAGAGATGCAAAATTCTGAGTTGAAAATTAAATAAATCACAATAGCAATCAATAGCTATTTGGACATCAAAACTTAGGGATCTTGATGAACATTTCTGACTCCTCCCTTTTCTTTTGGTGTTGCTTTGTTGACATAACATCCTGAAATGGCCATATAAAGCAAGTCCCTTGAAAAGGAAACTCTACTAAAAGAAACAGTGCTACCAAAAGGTAAAACCACTGAACAGTTTCTTCAATTGTATGCAAACCAAACGGCTGTATTTCTTAGCTCTCTGACATTTCCTACTTTTCACATTCATTAATCCTCTCAACTCTCAAGCAATCACTTGCAATTGGCTGCTATGCTGTAAAACCACAGCTGGTGGTTTTGTCTGTGAGACAAATTGACTTTAGGGTGCCCCAGACACTGCAGTTTTGAACAAACCTTTGCGGTTAAAAGCCACGAACAACATTACGACCTGTCTAAATGAGCGAAAATAAAATTTTGCACCAGCAACATAGAGGGAAATTTCAAACGTCATTTCTCCTACTTCCAAATTCGATGAAATTTGCACAGTTTAGCAAAATGGTTTGTATTCATCTTTAACGCCGCTTCCAGAAACTACATGAAACTGTTACTTGTTTTGGAAACTTAATTACGTTTCCTTAATCAGAATATCGACTTACATAGAATATGAACGAAAGATTATTAATTAGTTTTAACGTACATCTGAACGTATGCAAGGGCCAGCAATTCAGTTGCAAAATAGTTGCTCACGAACGACAAAACCGAAGAAATTTCGGTTGCTTTGCGTGAAGATTAGAATACCTTGTTTTTCCCGTTGAACTGCTTGATTCGCTTGATGTTCTTTCAAAGCACGCGAGAGCATTTTAGTCAGATTTCCTTCGGTTCAAAGCGGTTCAAAGTTCTGTAATGAAAATAATTAAATGCATTACATGTCCTCGTACATAGCAAACTATCAGGAGACACTTCATGTACGTAGAGGTATATTGTACCACAATCCGGAAGACTTTCCCGTTGCCTTGTCACACACAACTGACCAATCAGATTTCAGGACACCAGCGGTGAATAATATATCATCTGAATAAAGGGTAGTTTCTGTAGAAACTGTGGTGCTGCGTCGGTGGGAGTGTATTTCAAGGTAGTTTGGTATTATCAACTCAACTGGCCACCGTTGAGAGTTTGAAGCTCACGTTTCGGGCGTTAGCCCTTCGTGGACTTCGTCCGACGTTAGCTTTCAAACTTTTAAGGTTACTTCCCACCTTCGCGGGTGTCCTTCAGGAAAAACTCGTACACGCGCTAGTTTCTTTAAAATCATAGCAAACTATACATCAGGAGAAGGCTTACTAACTGCAGTTTACGACAAAAATATAATTTAAGCGACCTTTCCTTTAAGGAAGTTTCAGAAGCCGGTAAGGCGTGAAACAACTGAGGGTTCTTCTATTGAATTTTTTATCGGGTATCGGATGCCGCAGCACGAGCCCGAGCAAGGCTCATTTTAGCGAGTTATCCATTTCTAGGTTTACCAAGTACATAAGAGAAGCCCTCTTATGTATCTTTTACTTGTTCCTAAAGAGTGAAATTTGACGAAAAACGGTCAAATCTCAATACCTTAAAATTTCGCTCCAAGTGGATGTATTCCTTCCTAAATCAAATGCGAGATTTTAGCTCATAAAGGTTTGTAAATAACTCACGCTACGCCAGGAGATTATCTCGCCTCCTGAAACCGCAGACCAATGGGACAACGAGACCTCCTGGGGTCAATGACGATGGTCAAGATTTCCCGGGAAAAATAATCCATAGCAGAGACATCTTTTTATCTTGATCGCTCCGTGGAGCGTTGAGGAGGACGACACAATAATGGGCAAGGTTGCCAAAGGCAAAGGAAAAACCCGCCGCAAAAATGGAAAAACGGAAAATGTGCTTATAGACAAGACAACGGATCGACAGACAGCTTTCAAAAATACGATTTGTATCAAGGCCGGCACTTACATAAAACATAGGCATGCGTAGCACGCAAGAGTTATTTTTTTAGCTGGGTAGCTCGAGATGGGACTCTTTCTGTTCCTAGTATTTTCATAACTTTCAAAAGAACGAAAATATCGCACTATTTCACTTTAAGAGAAAAGAAAAACCTAATATATCTAGACTCGCATATGTATTTTGTGGTATGTTGTCTCTATTGTCTTCTAATTCTGAGCAAAAATAAAATGCATTAGTGCCACGCTCACTGTGGCTTCCTTCGCAGCCGTTGTTTGGTCTTGCCGCACAACGCCCAAATGTTACTCGTTGGAGAGTGAGCGCGTTGCGTGACGAGACCAAATAACGGTTGCTAAAGAGACTACGCTTACAACCATTCCTTCAATAGAGAGAAAATCAAAATTATTCGTCTTCAATTAGTCGCCTCAAAAATATAAATCCTCGTAATTTTACAACGAAAAGCAAACTGAAACTCTGTTGTATCTTCAATAGACCCTATTAAAAAATATACTGCGATCTCGAATATGTGAAGATACACTTGGCAAGAGAAAAGGATAATATTTCAAAGAGGGCTCCTTGATTGGTTGTTGCCTATCTGAACTTTGCCTTCTCTGTAAAAAACGTGATTAAATGCAGGTTGTTTACATGGAATTGACTCGCAATAGGATTAAGTCCAAGACAGCTAAAAACGAATTTTATTTGTAGAAAAAGTCAAAACGCGGGAAAGCCGCGATCAGTATCATTTAGTTCCCATCTGATTTTTTTCAGTGGCGTTGGATGACACGGTTAGAATACGTGATAAACTGCAGGTTGTTTACCAAGAAATGGCACGTGATGAGGATAAGTCTAATGTGGCAAAGTGAAATTTGAGTGGTAAAGTAAAATTAGAAAAATGGCGTAATGTTCATGTAGTGCAATGATTGGGTATGTTCTGATTGGACTTTCGACGTTTTTTTCATAGTACGTGATGGAATGTCAGTTGTTAGGCCTGTGTGTTGTTTGAAAAGGAGCGGAAAAACACGTTTTAACTTAAAATGATACAAATAGTTAAATGCAAACCTTTCATATCCTGATAAAGCTCGATCGCAATCGACGAGGCTCTTGCGAAGGCCATAACCATCACACTTACCAAATGAGCCCAAAATTTCTGGTTAACGTCATTCTCTGTGCACAGCCCCCTTATTCCATAACATAATTTAAAAAAAGAAAAAATTCCCAAACGCTGTGATTAGTGCAAGATGTCCAAATGCTGTGATATGATTGGTGCAAAATACATACGCTAATGCAGCAATCTGATTGGTCCGAGATACACACCCTAATGCGGCAATCTGATTGGTGCAAGATACATACTCTAATGCGGCGATCTGATTTGCGCGAGAAACATACCACTCTACACGCTGTAGAGTTGTTGTTGTTCTTTTTTTTTTCATAAGTACGAGATTAAGACACCTTCCTGATTTATTAAATTTTATTTGAAAATACATTTTTCTAAATAACTCGGGTGCTTTGAAAGATTTCAGAATATATTTTTCTTGGAAACGCTCGGAAAAATGTTTGAAGTCAGTGTAGTCAAATAAAAGAAAAAAACGATTTTTTCGGCCTCTGAAGGTGGAAAGTAACCTTCGTCTTTGTTTTACTTGGATTACTAATAGTTTCAAAAATTAATCTTCTCCAAAAATAATGATATATTATTTCGTTGTGTACAATTATGTTGCTTTCGCGTTAAAAGACACCTGGAAAATTTAAATTTAACTCATCAGGACATCAGCGTCTTTTAACTGTTACATCATCACAGATGAACAAAGGAAAAAAGGAAAACATACAAGTACCCTTGAGACGGGACTTCTTGTTGTTCAGAAATCACGTTAGCTTTGCCCTAAATGAATCTCCACGAAATGAAAAAATAGAGAAGACTTATTCCCAGTCGTTGCTAGGAAAGGCTTGGGTAGAGCGTCCACAGAGCATCAACAGAGTCTACATGCTCCCGGCATACCCCGCGTTCTTGACGATGACATCGTTTCTCTGACAAGTAACACATAAGTAAAGCTTGGGCGGGTTTCTCACACCAGCAACATGTAATATCAAAGCATTCTCATCTCAGCTGTCATCACACCTTCGGTTTGGCATGAATTTTGTGAAAAATGCTGTTAAACTTGTTGTCAGGGAAAAGCAACTCCAGAATACCTTCACACAGTACATAGAGAAGACGCTTGTTTAGGCTGCAGTACTGAAAGGTGTCGAACACACTGTAAAGGAAAGGAACCACTTAGATAATGAACTGGTCAGAAAGCCAAGGACTGAAAATTACTTCATGATATTTCAAATATACAGGATGAAATCGAGTCTTCAAACAGCAATAAAGTACCTACATCGATAAAAATTTCTCATGGGTAAACCTGAAGTAATAGCATGCACTAGGTTCCTGAATGATAAAATGCTCTTTTGTACTGGTCAGCATTAAGCATCAAGCAATAAAATTCAAAGCCCAGTAAATCGCGTGAAAAAAAAACTGCTTTCAATAGAATTGGCGTACCGCAAGTTTAAATTCATAAAGAAGAGAATCAAACATACCAACAAACTCCTTCCATTGTTACTTCTAAACCAAGGAAACGTTTAAGTTCCTCTGTGAAAAATTATTGATAACATCAACGGTAATTAGGTATTGTATAAGACAGTGTAAGATAAATTTTTTTAAATTCGGTGCGAAGAAGAGAACATAAACTCTTGTCCGCAGACATTACCTGTTGTGGGAAGCGAACAGTTTTCCTTAGGCTTCGCTCTCGGAAAACTGCGAACTTGAAGGGACAAATTACGTTCGGCAATAAGAACAAATCCAGTATTTCACGCTAAACTTGGATTTTCTCTGGTTTAAGAATTAACCCAAGGACTAATGTTGTTTGGGGTTTTCTTTGTGCAAGTTACCACTTTCTAGGCTCAAAAAAGCGGATGCGCGACATAATGTGGAAGAGAAGAGCGTTGTGGTTTGACCGCTCTTTCGCTCGTATCCACTGTTTGAGAGCCAAAACAAAGAGCAAAACTGAGGGACGCGAAATACAAAAGTAAATCTGTCGGCAAAGCTATAAAAAAAATAACTGGATTTGTCTTCCGTGACTTTAACGAACCAGTCAGGTATTGTGGACCCCAAACAGTCCTTGAACCTAGGAATTGCTTAACATACTGAACTCTTTGCCTTGCTCACCGGGAATACTCCCGAAAATCTTTGTTTTAGCAGCCACTCGTGTCCTAATCTTGACATCTTTTTTTCTTTCTTGGGAAGCTTCGGCCAAAATTCCACCAGGCCAGTAGGAGTCTCTGAAACACATCAAACACACAACTAAATTTAATTGGCTGTAAAGTACAGCTGCTGTTTAGTCGTAGTTAAGTTCTTGCACTCGTTTTTAAACACGTCGAATCCAAAGACCTCTTCGATCAAATAGGTTTTTGGTTTTTATCTTTTTTCACCTACACTCGGAACAAAGAATGAGGAAGTGGTATAAAATGTATCCAACAGACAGGCCACAATTTTTTTTTGTGAGGCTATGTGTAAGCAATTAAACGAAGATGAAACACAGTTGATCCCAATGTACATTTATACTAACGGTGCCATCACTGAAACAGAAAAGGGGCACTTATCGGAATGAGGGTGCTAACTCAATAGGGGCGTTTATTAATAAAGACAAATTTGAGGGGGGGCGCTTGTCAGACAGGGGGCGCTTATTGGAAGGAGGGCGACAAAACGAATCATTACGGTATCTCTTTATTACAGCATCAAAATTATTGCGATCAAAATAACCAGACTATGTGTTTCAGTCGAACTCTTGGAGAAGGGTCTGTCTGGGGCAAAAGAGTTTGGGTCCAGGGACCGTTACGACGGAACATTTTCCAAACGACCATAGCCAAAACATCAATTAACATTTATCCATTTATGCTGACGATCACTACATTTACGAAGGTTTTCAACTGGTGTGAATCAAACTTACTCAAGGGAAACACATCAAAGTATCGTTACAGTAAGTAGCTACAAAGGGACAACGACGATCTGCTTCTTAATGTTGTAAACTAATTCTTAATTAAACATCGGTGCCTCCAATCGGTGGAGGGTTCCACCGTCAAATATTATCACAATCGCGTGGAGAAAGTTCCCAATTCTTTGGTCATTCTTACGCAGCAGTTAATATATTCGATGGAAAAGCTTCCTCGTAATGATTTTATTAACATTTTACTCACCTAAAGAGTTTAACATATTCTGCAATCTGTTCTGCTGAAGTCATGTAATTGACATAGTCGACGATTTTCCTGTGAAAACGAATTTTAGAAAGTCTCTCGCACAAAAGGATCAACGGCAGCAGTTGGTCTTACCGGTCCATTATCACCATCGTTATGCTCACCAATTTGTTCAAAATGATTGGTAAAATTCGGTATACTTAATATTAAAATTATAGCCATTTGTGCCATGATGTAATTAATGCGAACATTGATCCCCGTTAGATACAAATATCTGTTCCCTTGATCAGATGACTGGATATGGATAAATAAGGCTTTAGACATTAACAATACGACAAAATCACTAACTCAAACAAACATTGATCAAGAACTCTGAGAAGTTACCGATTTATTCTGTCTCCGTAAGTTGTTTGGATTATTTGCCTCAGGAAAACAATGATACGGCGCCTCAGCCACAGATTTCTGAATGAGGAAAAATTTAACTGACGAGTTCACCATAACATGTATTTGACATAAGACATAAGTCGATCAGCACAAAGGGAAAAGTACAGTATAAAGAAGCCGGGATTTCTCCAAATCTTTTCACTGAATATTAATTAGCATTTGGTGATCGAACTATACAGAGCGCTAAGAACCAACTATTTACTTCACCTGTTTGTTCTACTCATCCGTTAATTTGAAATTTCATTGACAGAACCAAATGCAAGAGGTCCTTTTATGAGCGAAGATGGGAGTTGGATTTGTCGCTGAGTTCTTACCTTTGTCTCAGGTCAAATATTTCGTCCATGAGTGATAACAAGATTCTCAGAGGAATATTATCATCTTCCTGAAAAAATAGCAAAACATCTATGTTTACCCACCATGAATTCGAAGCAGTGTATGAAGTGTTAGTTACCTGTTATTTACTCATACTTGATCTTTTGTCTAACATGGAACACTATGATATGAATCAGGCATTTTGATGCACAAATATGGAACAGCGATTGACGGTCGAGCAGAGTGTTTTAATGCTGTAAGTGCCCAAGAAAATCATACAAAAAGAATGAAAATTTAGGGAGTCCCTTGAAAGACTTCTGTTGGTGATTCACATTTCAGCGTCCCGAGAAAAACCAACCATAGGACCTGGCTTCATGCCAAAGACCAAATATGGAAAAAAATAATATATAAGTCTTGGTTCATGGAAAAACATTGAAAGTGTAGAACAACAGAAAAACAATGAGCCTCCAAATAAACAGAGTTTTCACCTCTAGGTCAATTTCTGCATAAAACTGTCTTGTGTCTTCCTTTAAGTCACGTCTATTCCCTGGCTGAAAAATGTGGAGGCAAAGGGTCAACAAGGCCTCTCTGAAGTTGCATCACCATAATATTTGACTATAGCTTAAATAAGAACTACTGAGCAACATCTTAGGAATTCATTTCTAACTTTTTTGATTACCATTTGGGGATTTTCCACAGCATACATGTCAAACATTCACGCAAGTTACATGTGTCTCTCTAAGATGTAGCAGATATGACTTTGTAGATTTGATTATTTTGTAATCGATATCAAACCAACCGACAAACGAGATGTATAAGCCGTACCTTGGTGAAAATCTTTTGTACCCCTCCTGACAAACTGTCTGGTACTGTCTTTATTGCATGGGATACATGACGAATAGGAGCCACGAGGGTATCGACCTGTGAAAAACAACACAATACAAAGCATTAACAGGAGACAACGCTAAAAACTTAATAATCTGAATGCACTTTCTGGAATACTGGGAAGTTCACATTAAGCCTACAAACTACACAAACGTTAACGAAAATTTTTAAATTCATCAGAAGTTGACCTAAAACCTACAAAGTTGTTTTCAGCCCCGCCATTACCCCTTTAAAGACGTGATAACGAAAATGAAAATGTCGGTTGTAGACAACTTTTACGTCAGCATTAGACGTGGGTGATAAAGGTGGCGAGTGCATTTATCGACAGAGATAGACAAAATTTTCCAAACCTTGCATCCAAGGTTGAGATATTCCCCAACTTCCGTTTGAAAAGATATATCCGTTTGAAACTGAATTTTGTTACAATTTAATTTGAAATGACACATTTAGAGCAATCGTGTGCGTGCAAATAAATCTAACGGATTTTAAACAGACTAAACACAGGTCAATCGTTCACCTGCCAAATGATTTTCCACAGGTTCACAAGGATAATCCTACAACCAAATAATTGCTATTTGTAATAAGGCCTGGAGTCAATCTGTGAAACATTTTTTTTTTGCAAAATGTGACGATTGAAGCTTGATATTGTTCATAAAAAAAATTGAAAAATTGCGTATAAGATATCTGGCGTAGCGTGCTTCTGATCATGATAGGGTGAAGTTGTAGACACACCTTTCTTGCAAACTGTCCCTTCTCACGAGCATATGGTCCAGGTATCAGAAAGTTGTTTGCGATTTCAAACATACCCAAATGTAGGCCAAGAGTTTCTGTGGACAAAAGGTTCTGCAAAGACCGATTCAAAAGTAAAACTTCATGAACGTGAAAAACTTATTGGTAGAAGACTAGGTATGTTTCCGTAATCAGTTACTAGTGTGTTAAAATGCTACAACGCAGCTTCGCTGAGTTGATAACAAAGTTGCTTTACCCTAACTTCGTTGAGGATCGAATCTTTTTTGGAATTCCATCTAAATTTTAAGTATGGTATGATTCACTCTTCCCATGGCAATGGGCACAACTCTCCTTACTCGAAGCATGGCCTCACACTGATCTGAACTCCATTTCCCAAACATGTAAGTTCTAGTCAGCGCAATAGTTCTCTAGAGTCATAAACAAAGTAAAACTGAAATCTCAACTGAATGCTGATCTCTCACCTGTAAATATGTGTCTAAAGCAATCCGTCTTTTCTCAAGAAATTTTTTATCCAAGTTGTGAAACGTTCGTTTTCCAGGAAGAAGAAGACTGGGGATCAAGCCAAACTGTAAAGGTGAAATGAATGAACAAAATAACACCGATATAACATGAGGGAAGGTTTGGCCCTTCCCCCTACCCCCACCCCCTCCTCCCCGCAATTCTGACAGTACGTGAATGACCCTTTCCCCAAATCAAGATTGTAAAGAAAAATAAAAAAAGCAAATAAATAAACTATCCATGGAAGTTTTCTAAAACAATTGAATGTAAAAAAAGGGGTCATGTTTAGACAGCTCTGAGTCTTCATTTTCAAATCACTAATTACGTAATTTGTTCATGTTACAAATGAATACTGCAACCCTAAATAACATCTCATTAGAAAAAGTCAAGTGATGGTTACAACAACAAATGGCTCACCTTTTCCTTTAGATGCAGGTGTAAATCATCAAAATCACTGTATCGTCTGAAAACTGTCCAAGATTTTGTTCCCTCTGAAGACGCGCGATAAACGTTGATGGTGTACAAGGCGTACGTTTTGCCATCATCTTTACAAGCACCTACAAGAAGTAAGTATTTTAACATTACGAACTTTTCCTGAAAAGTATTTCAGACCAGTTAATAGTAATGCTGAGCTCAGTAATCGGATAGATCCTGGACTTTGTTAAATTACCAAAAAAATTGAAGTCAAGTGGACATCGTTTTTGCGAGGTCAAAATATGGAGACTTGAATCACCAAAAAAAAAAGGCAGCCTGTGACTGCATGTGCCTACTTTTGGGTGGTTGTAGTGTATTGCAGTAAAAAAGGAATGTGGTGCATTTTTCTTCAACGTAAATTTTTCTTCTAAGATTTGTTAGATATGTTCAGAGTAAACCCACATGTGCTTACGTTCAAATCGATAACAATGTCGAAATGCAGAGGTGACGCCCGCAAAAAAAATTAAACGAAACACGAAAAATTCAAATATGAATCCGAAGAAACCCGATCAGATTCGTTCAACGATGGCCAGTGTCGGAACTGAACCAGGACGAGTCACAAGAGATGTTACGAGTGTGTGACGATGGTCAGCCATTTTGAAAACTGCGATGGGCTTGAGGGAAGATTTACGGACTTGAACGACACCATAACATAAGGCCCGGGCGCACAGGGCTGACTAAAATTTGTCCTGCTCTGAGGCGCCATTCAGGATTGGTGAGGCTTGACAAGTTTCGGTATGAAAAAAAAATCACCGAGCGCACTTGTCTCACTAAACTGATGACAGATTTTTTCACAAACCAAACAAAAAATTGTGTCCATAGTGCCTACAGCCTTCTAGAAGGAAGGCACAGTAGGCACAAAATGAACTGTTTTTTAAGTAAGTATGAAAACTAACGCAAAAAGTACCAGTTTGAGTGATGGTAGCATTCAGTCTTATGTCATCATCAGGGGTCCACAGCTTTACGGCCAACGTACTCTCCTGATGAATATGATAATTTTTTTTAATTCCATTGTCAGTAGTGGTTGACAGAACTTCGTATGAAAACTTGATTGACAAAGATCAAAGTATAAACAGTATGACAATGTGAACCATGTGAAAAAAAAAATTTGCAGAATTACTCCTGGTCTGGTTGTGTTTATTCTCTTACGTATCGACACGTAGTGCACTTCAGTAAACAACATCAATAATACTTGCAAAATATTCGTGACTACCTTAGTCCACTCATAGCAATCACCTAGAAATCTTTGAGGGACTAATTATTATGTACCCATAGAACCATCCACTTGTATTAATCACCAAATGGTGTCAAAGGACATTAATCGCTTTTCCGATCAGAGATTGTCTGCTAGTTATAGATCTTTCGCTGTAATAAACTTGTCAACAAACCTCAGGTTGGGAAAATTCACTGTCGATACTGGCAGCATCATCTGAAACATATTGTGAATAATCAATTTAAATAACTTGGCGGGCCGCGGCCAACATGTACTATGTACAGTTGATGATATAAGAGAGAAGTGTTCTTAGTTATACCTAAAATCTCCAATAGCATTCTAAAAGGTGGTATTAAAGGTGAAAATTAACTGACAAAAAAAATTACCATCATCCACTACATTGTCATCTGAAAAACAGAAAAAAATGAAGTTATAGACTTGAAATCTGTTTCAATCAAATCAGCTATATCAATCAGTTCCCACAATCATGTCACCTAGCTCTCATGAATTAAGCTGACCTGCAAAGAAAGTAGTATGTACCAAAAAAAGCAGGAACCTGATCTATATCTACTGGGCAGGAATCTTAATTTAAGGAGGCATTCTTTAAGTGGATACCTACACAAAAACTGAGATGTTGTGTAACTAAAACTTTATAAGAGCGGATACATTTTTTGACAATCATTTGTTTCAGGGGCATAAGGAACACTTTCATTTTCAACACTGGGATAAACCTTTCAGAAAAGGTGATAGCAATTTTTTATCTCAAATAATGTTTGACAACTACTCAAGATGAATAGAAAAATTATCACCATATAGTGTTCACAGATAAACCACTTCTTATGTTGGCTGACCAATGACTTACTGGGTATCCTCTTTAAGTGTCTATAGACTCATAAATCTCAAGACCATGACCCTGACTCATTTGTAGCTGGTTGGACACCAGTTCATGTCAGCCCACAACATGTATTGAGCAATTACTGGATGAGGTTGAACATGATATCATAAATTATCAAAACTGAAGCCTGAATTATCTGCTGAAGCCAAAGGCTGAGGCAAATAACAGAAATATGAGGTTTAATGATTCATGCTCAGCATCATCCAATAATTGTTTTACTAAACATTTTAGAATAAAGAAGACATTCTCTGAGTCTGGGAAAGTTTGAGCACATGAAAAGAAAGAGGGGTTTTGGACTAAGCAAACTTTGAATTTGACATGAAAAATGCAATATCTGCTATAGATATTGTCAATGTTTGTTTGTTCATAATAACATTAAAAACCTTTTTAACATGCTCAGCAGTAGGACACCCTTAAGAGGGTGACAAAATTTGGCATATTTCAAACATACCTGGTTTGTCTAGAGGTATTTCCAAATCCAGAAGACATCTATGATATAAAGAAAGTTCTCACTATTTATATTACAAGCAAATCATGTTAATCATCGTGAGCAAGCATTACTACCAAACCCATGACAAGTGTCCTTTAATATATCCTAATGCTACAGCCAACCCATGTATATGTATTTTCAATAACCATTTGCCTTATTTTCTATATTTCTGTAAGCTACTGACACTTAACTTGACCTCAGGCATTACACACCTCACATAGGCTTCGCTTTTCAGGAAAGACCCATAATATGATTCTCCTCCAAGGATTTCATAAACCTGCCCCATTTAAAAAAGACAATAATTATAGCATGCAAAAATACTCCTTTGGCTGTGGCCCTGTATAGGATACTATGGTGATGTTTTCATTCTTCAATAGCACGATTTCACTGCAGATTAAACACCTTTATTAGATCAAATCAAAACTAGATGTGACTTGTTTTAAGCAACCTTTCATCCTGTCAACTCTCATTAGCCAGTGGAAGGAACACTGTGCCTGTACTTGACTGACATGTGATGATTATGATGATAAATTCCACTTTTAGTCTGAATATGTTAACAAACCACACAAACATGGAGAGCACTGCTTGATGCAAGGGTTACAAACATATTTTAAAACTGAAAATAAGCAGCTTTTTTTGTTTCTTTGGCTCAATTTTCACCTGTGCCTGGCAGTCATCAAAGCAACTTGGGGATGGTTCCTCCTGTGCAATACGCTTGAAAATTTTCTTTGGTAACTCCTTCGCTAACACAACTCTGGGGCTGGCCTAGAAGTTCACCAAAAAGAACATTGACTAACATAAATTGCCTTATGCTTCAAAAACTGAGAAAAATTTTGTTAGCTTGCTTTATTATTATTGGTGAATCAAGAAACATTCTGTTGTTTTGGCAATGGGTGGCTACAACAATATTTATTTTGTACTAAAAACACAACCCTCTTTAAGGACACAATACAACATGAATCCAAGAACGTTTCCAAATGAGTACTTACCGTTTCTGACAAGTACTCATCAAAAATATTTTGAGCTGCCAATCTTAACACTTCCAAATCTTCAGCAACCATACAATGCTCCTAACAAAGAAAGAGAGCAAAAAGTAATCATTCCTTTAAATGACCTGTGCTCTATATAAAGGATACCTGGGTATCCAGATAATCTATAAATGGATGAAACCCTCACAAGACTTTAGATTTGCTTCTAGGGTATTTGGATACAAAACTAATGCTCAAAGCAAGAGTAAATTGTTGTCTGTTACCTTTTCTCACACAAAGTGACAAAAAACAGATTTTGTACTTTAAGAAGTAAATGTATGTATAATCAGTTGTTCAAATCCTTTCAAAGCCAGAATTTTATCAGTCTTCTTTTCTGCAATTTCTTTGATTACAGCTCACCTGCAAAGGTCACATCTTCACCTTCTTGTACGATTTCATTTTATAATTATTATGAATAATTAAGTTTCTCTTACTCTACTACCATAACCATGAATGTGGCAGATAACCACAAATGAAAAGACTTTTTAGAAAACACAAATACAAAGAAAAGAAATATCTAAATTTCCCATCCCAGCTCACTCATGTCAAAAAATTACTCTTGCATGCCTGGCATGCCTACATTTGTATCTTTGATTTACGTATTTGTATCTTTCCATTATGTGTTTGTATCTTTGCGCTATGCATTATGCAAGAGTTGAAGTAATTTAAGGGTTGCCCCCATGTATAACTAGAAATAATCTTAATGCTGTACTTTGTCTCCACCATCACTCTCCCTGACTAGCAGCTGTTCCAAACACAGTGACAGCTGCTGCTCAGCAGTTACACGATAACTCTGCAACACAAGAAAAAATTAACTTGTCTTATCCAATTATTAATAATCCATGCAACCTTAGCCAAAAAAGGATATACTGCAAATATTAAAAACACTGAATAAACACCACATTCAGGTTTAGAACTTTAACTCTGACAGGAGTAGAGACGGGGTTCACAATATGAATTTGAAGCTGACAATACTATGATTGACTAAGTTACAGTGAAAAGGCCATTACATAACTCAATATTTATAACACAATCAACATTTAATTAGTTGTCTCCAACTAATTTGGAATTCTTCTCCCCTTCTTAGGTTTTTACATGACTTCAGAATCTTCAATAACTATTTTCTGATGTCCATAATACCTACGATTTTCTGACTTTTCAAAGAAAGACTCAAATCTTAGAGGGCTATTTTCTCTCCAATGTATAATGCACATGTAACTGCTCATTGCTGTTCCTTCTCACTAAATTTGCCAGCATGCAGATAGAATTCTTCCTTAAGTTGGCATTGAGATTAGCATTTTCACAGCATCAGGAGCTGGTCAAGTTTCATTTTACTATAAAGTAACTTGTGCATAGACATCCATACAGTGAACTATAATTTGAAAAAATGCTTTCCATTCTTTTCTCTCATTTAAAAAGATAAGCAAATAGAGTGGAAAATGTGAAGCACAACAATTTGTTTCAAGAATTGCTTTATTTTATCAGAATACATTAACCCTTAAAATTGTTGATATTTTTAAACAACACCCATTAAGAGCTTCAAGTTCTGAGAGTTCAATCTGGTACACTGGTCAAACCAGAGACTATGCAAGTATTGGTGTCTTGGATAAAAGAGGAAAGGTTTACCTCAACTGCCAACCAAAAGTAAAGATACACTTGTCCGTTGATACTGTTCATAAACTCTGCAAGAAAAGAGGAACCCTAAAAAATTTATAATTATTATGAATAATTAAAATTAATAATGACAATATTAAGAAAATAATAATAACAGGCTTCACATATAGGGGGTGACACTCTACATGTACAATAACAGAAACGCTGATAATCTGTGGCCTCCTTCAAATAACCTCAAACAAATTTACCACTGGCAATGATCTGTAAAACAACTATGTGTACAGACAAAAAAACTCAGCAGGGGAGTATTGTCTTTCCATTTCAAAAAGTGCTAAACATTTTGGTCTTGCCTTTTATGTGTGGAGAAAACAAGTTCATTGAATCCAGAGAAAGGTTTGTCTACCCAGTGAATGAACCTGATAGTTTACGCATTTATCAAAAGTGCTCAGCTGAAAGGAAACAGCAAGTGGAATTTAGGCTGTGCTGATGATGCCAAATTTGAAGATCATATTGATGCATCTCCAAGCACTTCTGAGGGAGTCTCATCAGACTGTTCGGTCTTGATGACTTAGAGTACCTGCTGAACATCTGGCTTTTGTCCACTGCAACTCCTGTCCCCATTACTGTGCTATCTACAGGTGTATGTTGGAAAACTTATCATTCCCCTTGGGAGCATTGAAATGACAGAAGCACCTGGATGACACCCTAGCTTGTTGAGTGCTCCCTCACTTTCTCACATGCTTCATATCTTAATGAAAGCACAGCTGACACACAAACCAATTATTCTACAACATTTTTATATTGTGTAACAAGAAATTTCCTCTGTAAGCATTCATGATCAACAGAAACATATACCAGTCATCAGCCTGCACAATAGGAATATATTACTCAAGGGTGCACAATTAACTTTGATACCACAATTTACTTGTTGAAATATAATAGGGATCGAATAGCACAGCTAAGTTTTTATTTTGAGATTTTGACTACAATTATAACATTTGTTACACGCACCTATAAAGTAAGACAGGGCTGTATTGTTATCCAAAATAACTTGAAGTGGAAGAACAGGCAGAGACTGATTGGGTGACAGAAGTTTGCTCAATTCATCAAGCTGATCCTGTTGGATAACCAAGCAAAAGATGGTCATGGCCATTTATGTTAATCAAATTGATTCTACCATACAAAACAAGTACAAAAACTGTGCAGCAGTCTCTTTCTCCTGCGATATGTATGTTGGGAACTGTTCCCATTCTTTTTTTTCCTAGTAACCGGAACAACTTAGAATTTACAAGGAACCTTTTTAATTGTCTCACTATCAAAAATTTATACAAGGAAGATTAATAAGTTAATATTTACCATTGAAAGGTTTGTCCTATAACACCCTTACAGCTGTTTTCAAATTATTCTGCTCAACATGTCTTGCAATCATCAAGTTAACAAATCAACATTTTTTAAAAACATTTCCTTCAAATGCAGGGTCACAGCCAATTGTAGATCGCCAAACAAACAAACAAACAAACAAACAAACAAACTATCCTCAAATCAAAAACAAATTTAATTCTATAATTTTCCCCTGAATTATTTTCTTGAAGTTTTATATCCTATGAATTTTACATAAAATGGATACTCCTCCTTTGTTGAAACATGGAAAAACAATCTTAACACCTTAGTCTTGGTGAAATAAATCTATTGATTGAGAAGCATCATACTCAAAAAATTTAAGCTTATAACAATTCTCAAAAGTTTTCCAGATAATTTTGGCTTTGAAGATTCTTTTATCATTTGATTATTAATTTACTTGTTTTGCTACAAAAGACCCACTTACACTGTAGCCAGATATCTTGAACCAGTCAAATTTGCACATTTCTACATGCACTAATAGTGGCAATGGCAAACTGAAGATACAGTTTCTGTTCTACTTACCGAAGGTAAGGAAGGTAGTTCTCCAATACCATACTTTAGAGTTCTAATCTTTGCTTCACAAATATTCTTAACAAAGATTAGGCTGCTTAACTGTTGCCTCACTGCAGTATCAGCTGCATCTGGTGATTAATTATAATTTTATATAAGTTAATAACAAATAGTGATAAATTTGGAACAAACATGTTGTGGTTGTCTTGTTATCATTATCACATTCAATGAAACAAAAATTATCATAACTCTCAATAATTATGATCAGCAAAGAATTCAAGTTAACCATGTTAGCAGGATACCTGATGTCTCTGAATCATGTGCTCTTAACTTGGCAATCTCTAAGTCAACTTTATCTTTTGTTCCCTCAACATCTTCTACAGCACTGATTCCTTCCCTTAAAGGCAAACTCTGACACTATAAATAATATTTTGGGCATGAACTGGTTGTTTATCTGTCTGGTTAGGTAATTATCATATTCTACCCAGAAAAGTTGTATGCCATCACATGCATTATCATGTCATCTTGGAGCTCATAGTAGTCTCTTTATCCACATTCACCAGTTTCAAAATGTGGTTGTGGATAACTTTGTTATCTTACAACAAGCAAGCTTTAATATTCCTGTGAAAGTCTTCACAACCTCACCTAATAACTGTCATGAAGGCTTCTTTAGTAAAAGTAGAGTCTTTGCACTATACAAAGAAGAAGGACGTGACTTAATATTACCAATCAGTGTTACATTGAGCAGAGATAGGGGTAAATATTACCCTATGAATCAATCTAACATGGGTTAATGCATGTATCCTACAAGACTACATTATTTTCCACTCCTGAATATTTTACAGACTACCAGGGACAACCAGTTCACCACTAGCACAGTTACTTGTAGTGACTTGATATCATCTACTGGCCAAATACCATGTATTGTCACTTCATGTAATCAACAATTTCTTGAAATTAAAGCTGCTGTTCTTTTTTATAGTAAACAATTTTTATAGTAAACAATTTGATACATGTTTATTGAACTACATGTCAGATGTGTTTTTCAACTAACCAGCCAAGCTAATGTCTGGTTAATGAAGTCTGGGTCACAAATCATGGACACTGTTGGAAACAGTACACAAGTAGCAATCATTTCCTGTTGGGAGAAGAGTAAAAGAATTAAAATTCACAACAATGTACATGCATGCATTTAAAGTGTGTGATTAATTTTGAGACTGCATTATGGGCCTGATCAATCATGAGATGCTGCTGCTATTGTGACTGTTGATACTCCTACTGAACAAGAGTTTGCCAATGAATGGTTATCCTTGCTGTTATAGCATAACCTGTAGAGGAATGCTTCACAAGTGCTACACTCTTTGATCTAGAATAATTATCTAAGTATACAGCTATATATATATATATATATATATATGGTTTGCATATATGTATACATAGATATATTCTTAATAATATAAACAAGATGATTATCTGACTTTTTCAGTGTTTCTGTGAAACAGAATTCTCCTATAATTCCTGATACCTACCCTACTCTTCATGATTGGATGAGCCCAATAACAAGACTGTGATAATGATTTTCAAGGTTTTGAATGCCAGGTGTCATTCTGAATTAAAATTACTTATTTTCTAAATTTACAAAAACCTCTCTGTTGCTGCTGGATGCTTATTCCAAAAAACTGCATGAGTAAACATAAACCTGGCTTCAAATACATGTCAGGCATTAAAATTGAAAGTGGATGCTAGCACTAAAATCAGTTTTTCCTTACTACGCCTTCTGTAGAAATATCAATATTGTGCAAGTTTTTACCTTGGGTCATGAGCCATACACTGTTCTTGTAAATCAATATTCCAAGTTCCACATTTTTAAAAAATTGCCATTTGATAACCAAACATCATAACTTTTTTTCCTATAAAAACTAAAACAGTCCCAGCTAATAACACTCTTGGGCAGTTAGTAACATTAGAATTCTCTCACCCTGAAAAAGTATCTGAATGGTTTGTTGTGAAAGTCTTCAGGGGGCAGCAGTAAATAAAGCAGCATTTCACTGATGTCTGAGAGGTAGTCTGAAAGATACAGTTTGTCCATGAAATGATGATGTGCAAGTTAAGAAAACAATCCTCCTAATAAATAATTTTGAGGGTTTAATGGTCGGATCTTTGTTTTTTTAAATGTTTATCCATTTGTCATTTAAACTTACAGCACAGTACTCATACACTCATGCAGTTACATTAATGATCTGGCCCCGGTTGTTCAAAGATCAGATAATGCTATCCATTGGGAAAGGGTGCTTTCCTTTGAAAGGATCCAGATTAGGATTTGTGATCCAAGATCACACAGATCACTGTGCATGAAAGGAACAGAGTTTTAGACGAGCTCTCAGAGAATTCCAAAAGTGGGGCTATTTTAAGACTTGTGTATGCACATGGGTTATTGAGCTCTTCCTGAATGGCTCAACTAACTGCACAGGCTTTTAGCATGCACAATTTTTCTAATTAGCTAATTATTCATCAGAGGCACATTTTTTAATGGTAAACTCAAACGATGGAATGAAAACAGAAGCAAGTATTGATTACGATATGGATACTTGAGAACCCTGAATGCCTGTGATCAGTGGCAGATTGATTTTATTTTGTGTTTATTGCAGAATTTGTGGAGCAATTGCCAACAATCTTTCTGGTCAATATATGAGGTACCTACGGTACTTGTTTGAAATTGAGCAGCACTGGGCAAAATGATTAATTTCGGATCCTTCACCCAAAGGAACGAGTTGGATCAATGATCTGATGATCCATCTTTAGATCATGCAGATCAGTGATCTAATAAATCCTTGTCCAAAGTGGATTTGATAGATCACTGATCTGAAAATGGATTTGCTCAAAAGGAACGCCACAGATCAGAAATTCTGATCCGGATTCTCCCAAAGGAATGTACACTAAATCTCTATCTGGTGGATAACGCTATACGTTTTGCTATCATTTATCTGCTGGATAGCGTAATTCACCCCTTATATGCCTGAGCCCTGTTATTGCCAACAATAAAAGTATGGTAACTTGTAATACAGTCGATCATCATCAGGCAATTAAATTAAATTGTTTTATAGTAAGTCTCAACAACTAAAAGGTTGGAATCCAACTTAATGCATTTCAAGTCCTCTGAAATTACTATAAAGACCCATACATAAACAGTACAGTTACATGTTGTCTTAAAGGATCCTAACTGCTGTTTCTTTTTCCTGTTTTTTATATTTAATCCAAACTATAACTAAATTCTTGAACATGATTGGTTATCACCAGTCCAATTTATAATGGTAACAGGACAGAGTGGAGTTCAATTCAGTCTGTAATCATCTGAGTCATTAACAAAATCGGACTACCACAAAGCAGGAGTTCGATTTGTTAATCATGAGTATGATTACAGACAGAATTGGACGACATGAAGTCTTGTTACCTATTATTTTTGGACAAATATATGTAGAGGTCTACTAGTGTTAATAAACAAAATGGCATTGTTTAATGACACCATGCAGCAGTACCTTTTTCTTTTCCCTCTGATAAACATATTTGCTCTCTACATATTTCTCCTTCCATTTCATATTCCACTTGAAAGAATGCTGTTTCTATATCAAGTGATGTATTATCATCAGCTTAAGAAAGAAAACAAACAAAATGTTTCCATTTAATAGTAACAGTAACTAAATACAATAAATTCAACCTACATGAGTCTATCATAGGGAACCTTGCATACTGCAAAACTGTATGTTGCATGACTGTTTAAACTAAGGTAAATATGATAAACTGAATATCCTCCACCACTGATATAATCTGATTTATTGCAGTCACTTTTAATTCTATTTACAAGGTCTGTACTAAAAGAAATCATGAAAACTGGTTCATACAAGAAGAAACTGGAATGACATACATTTACATTACGCCAAAAATGTTTCTAAATGGAATCAAACTGATTTGATGGGACTGTGTAGATGATTTTTCTCAAAAAGATTTCAGAATAAATCTCTATCACAAAGTCCGATATGAGGTCAGAGGACAAAAAGTAAAGATTATGAGCTAATGTTTTGAGATTGTGCCTTTCCAACAGAAATGTACTGTTGGAATAATAATTATTAAAAGTTAACTCTGTTTACAAGGCAATAAATCACATTACATCAATATTGATTCCTACATTTACATGTACCTTTTTCTAATCTCTGTTTCGTCTTGCGATATATTTTCAAATGATTAGTGATATCATCAACAAATCGTGTTGTTAAGAAATTCACCCATTCAACATCTTTGGACCTAAAAATAAAACTGTTAAAATTATCTAACACACCAACATCCAAAAAGCCCTCTAACACAACAAAATGTTTGGATTAACCTTTTCTAAGTTAAGTGGAGGCAAAAAGAGACATTTCCACAGATAATACTATCCCAAGAATTGAAAGCATTAAAAATTATTCTCCAATTATACTACACATTGTCCAGTCCATCACAGCTTGAGAAAAAAGAGTTTGCAAAATAAACTAGTCACTCAAAAATGTAAAATTTTAACACTCTGAAAGAATTTACCTTGATTAAGTGAGATATTAACAGAAATTATATATAATTTGACTAAATGGCTTTCAGGCCACAATTTTAGATTTAGTGAAAATTGATTGAACAGATATAAGACTGACGTTTTGTTTCTTTGAAAATTACTGTTAGCCCTAAACCTCTGTGTTGATCTTAAATTCACACACATACACCTGTTGGCAAAAGCTACCAGTGCTCTCTGCAGGGTCTGTCTAAGATCATAAAGGAAGCCTTCATCTGTACTAATGCTGTTGTAATACCAGTCATGCACATAATCACGAAAAAACAGCTGCAAAACCTGTAGGTGGAAACAAGAATTAAATATGAAAAACTTAACCTTGAGATTATTTTGATTAAGAGTGTGACCTGCAAATCTCCAGCTACTGATTATACAACTGTTTCATGCATTGTACTATATCGTACTTGTTGCAAATTGTTGACTACGACAAACCAATAAATATCACCTCTGTGAAAATGAACACAACAGCATAATGGACTATGACTTTACCTCTTGTAATGGTTCATCAATGATGCTGGAACCAGTCAGTCGCTTGTCCATTTTCAGTGCCATTCTACTTAGCTGAATTTCTTGGATTACTTTTCCAAGTCCCTTTGTCATGGGACCAAAGTCTCCCTCCAAAGTATTTTGCCTCATCTCTTGTGACATTAAATAGCCCCAGTAGCCAAGGACCATAACAAATCTACCAAGCCAAGTAAACATTATTAACTGTACCTTCAAAGCAGTTGTAAAACACATTTCAGAACCACATTTCACACTAAGTATTTTAAGCATGCGAAAGGTAAAAGAATCATTTTTTTCCTTTTTCTTTAATAAAACCTTTTTTCTCTTGATGGCTGTTTCAAGAAAGAGAAGACATCCACTTCCATCTTCAGCAAGTCAACTGGCTCACATTAAAGTCTCCCTAACACTGACTGCTTAAGAACATATTTGTGAAGAGACAACCATTGCTATTCTAAAGCTCAAAGACATCTTTGGATGTACTGTATTCCATTCACAATTGGGTGAATATTTACAACATTTCAACTGGCAAATATGCATATAAGGTGGAAGGACTGAGCTTTTATCTCTGACACAGTCCTTCTTTGCTAAAAGGAAAATACTTGGTCGGTTGTTTAATATCATTTGAAAAAAAACATTGCTTTACTCACCCAAAAACAAACAGCAAGGCATATGACACAAGAAAGCATGTCCACCACACTCCAAAAGTTGTAAGAAACAAACCAAAAACTAATACAGTCCATCCCGCCTTGTGGATGTGAAGCTGAATGTAAAGAAGAAATTTGCTCGCAAATTAGATGCTTCAGAATGTGTCGGCAGGTCAGTGAAACACTTAGTTTTATTACAAAATAGAGGGCAATAAAGGGAAACAAAGCGTGACAGCATATTTTGCAAAGCTGATATTTTTTATCAGACTAAAGTGCTCATCGCAACTGAGTTCAAGAAATTTATACTTCACCTGAGTTGACACAGAAAAACGAAAATTTGTGTACCCAGGCCTGATCAAAATTGTTATCAGCAAGACTCAGAATATACATCCGTGGCACAATTCACCCAAATATGAAATCATCATATTAGTTGATGTTGTAAATATATTTTCCAGATCTTAAATCAACTGATGTGTTTATATCGAATTACCAACCTGGGGAGCGTCCATCCTTTACAGCAGTCCCTTTCACTAGCAATTGAGGTGTAACAACTGAGGTGGAATAATGGCAGTATTCAATATGCGAAACTGCTGATGCCAAGGACCTTTATCAAATATAGAAACTGAATACAACCATTATGTAAAGAGTCAGTGCTCAGCCGAATCGAGGATGTTTGTCGTAAGCGCCTACAAGTGGTCAGCAACAAGGCTTTTGAAGGACTGTGCATATAAGATTCTCCCAATGTTAATAAAATTGCCATGTTATTTTTAGCAGTTGTAATAAAATCTACATATTCCTAGAAGTTTTACGGCTGGGGCTCGGTGGCCAAGTGGTAAGGCGTCGGTCTCGTAACTAAATTCAGATAACCGAAGATCGCGGGTTCGATCCCCGTCCGGGCCTATTTTATCACCCGACAGTGATTTATTTTTTCTTTCCTTTTTTCCCTCTTATTGAGTGTTCAAGGAGAATTCTTGTAATACAAGTTTAAAAATTACTTGTAACATTTTTCGTCCACTTGTTTCGTTGAATTCTAAGTTTCGCACCCAGATTACTCTCAAAGTTCTTAACATACTCGAACAGCAAAACAAGAGAATTTTATTCTGGTACTGAGGCACCATGGCAAGGATGCATCCAACATCCAATGACAAATAATCACCATAACCTACGATAGCTACAAAAAATATGAAACATCGATCCACAGCTTAAGAGCCCTGCTGACGTAATAGAACAGTCTAAAAGTGGCGAACGCCGTTGTGATGTCGATCGAAGTCGGAAGATATGTTGACCTTCAAGATAGGATAAGGCCTCTTTGTTACTAAAAGCCTTCAACGGGAATTGATACACAAGAAAAATAAGTCAATAAAGACAAGCCAATTTCTTGAATGAGAGGATCGAGATGAGATTGGTTATCCTCAATGGAAATTAAAAAAATTATAGACTCTTCGGAAACATATCTATGAACTAGGGATGTAAATGCGTGACTTTTAAACTTGCGTGACATTTGTGTTACAGTTGGCCTTTGTGCCATTTGATTCCTTCAGATAGTCTTTCTCTCCTGCTTTCATTATTCACTGTTCGTGTTCAGCGTTCATCCAAAGTTAATTTATAAAGTTTGATTTCAAGCCACCGGCGTATAGGGACTGATATTTTACGAGATTGATTAAAGCTATGTCTCTGTAACATATCCCCCGGTTTGGTTGGCATTTTCTCCGGTCGCGATTTTCTTGGCACTTCATCGAACCTTGATGTTCGTTTGCCGCAACACGGGAAATTTTTTAGAAAATCAAATCCTAGGCAAGGAAAGGTGGTCTACACACCTTCAACAGACACTACATCTAAATTTAGTAAACATCCATTCCCAAATAAGTTCGGGCCTTCAGTTTGCAAGAGCATACGGAACGTAAGTTATCTTTGATGAACGAGGAAACTTCCTGAAAAACCTGCGCTGTGTATTTTCTTACCACCTTCCGCTGTCGATTCAAGATCAACTAGTAAACGGGCGAGAAAAACCGCCTTGTCTAAGGTAAGAAATAAGCAATACCTTCCATAAATAAGACAACTATCGAAAAAACTCAGCTATTGGTTCGAACTTGCACTACGATCTGACCATGAATAGCTTGGTTTCGAACAAGGAGGCAAAATTGCCAATTCTAAATGTAACGACATTATAAAGTCAAGGGAATTCGGATCCTGCAAAAGAGTGCATTGTATGTGGGATGACTGCCAACGCACGAAAATGAGCATCGACTCAAGGTATCGAGATTGTCATTGTAGGACACAATACAAAGTAACCTCAGAAGGGCGTTTTGTGAAGGTGTGAAGGTGTGAAGATGTGCATTTGACGGGTGTTCCTATACAGTGACAAACAGACAACGGCCCAACAAGTGCAAAGATCATAACAGTCATCCACTCATCTCGACGGGGAAATTGCCTTGCACAACTGCTATAGGCATGGCCAGATGGAGATAATGGCCAGCACCACATATAACATAACAATCAGTAAAGGGTTTAATCCATCGAGCGATGGAGAAAGATTGCACCCTCACCACAAGGGAAGGCCACGGTATCGGTTTCATTCCCGAAGAGAAATAACCAGCTGTATCAAATGAAAACAGAGTGAGAAGACAAAGGCACTTAGCAGTTGTCAGTATCTGCAAACGTCGCCCAAAACTTATAACAATCACCCAAATTAGGAATCTGAAACTTCAAGAAAACACTATAAAACAACCAAGACCCGGACGATCATAAATTTACCAAATTAGTAAACCAAAAGATGCAGAAGTAAAATGGATGAAAGAAAGTATCTGTTGCCGCCATCTCGCAGTTTTGCGTTTTACCTGGCTCCCTACAAAGCAGAGTTATTTAAAAAGGATGCGAAGGACTTATTCGTTGACATAACATACACAGGGAATCAATACATTCCTCACTCCTTAAAAGTGGTGTCTTTTAATGACCTAACACTTGAATTCAGCAAGCATATGCAACCGCTTTTTCCGAAGTGTCTTTGTCTCGCTGGATTAATTCCTCGACGGTAGACCTTTTACGAAATATTTTTTCGATAACCTTGAAGGACAATTGTCTGGCTTTCGCAATGTAGAGTCTCGAAATCCAGCGATTTTCGAGGGTGGGTCAGTCCGTTAGTCTCACGTAGCCTTCCTCCCTTTCATTCTTCTTAGTGCTTGTCCTAAGTCATTGGTCATCCAGTCCATCGTCTGAATTTCCAAGGATCTTTCGCTTAACAAAAGAAGTAGAGCTGTTTTTCTTTCATAGAAAATTGCTTTTTCTTTTTTCCTATATGCACCAACAAAAAGCGCTCCGCGTTTTCTAAGTTGATCGATGGTCCATTGAAATCTTAGCAAACGTCGAAGTTTGATTTTGTTTAAACCGGTGGAAATCGAAGCCATCCCCTGCATTTGCAACCTTTTTCCCCCGACACCGGCGATTTGTTCGTTTTTCTGCTGCAGAACATAGCTACATTTTATTTGTGGACAGGAAAAGCGTTGGGTATTTTCTCGCTAAATCAATCACCCGATCGACCGTCATAAAGACACTGCTCGCCTCAAGGAATCCATATGGAAGATTTCAGAGTACAGAGGGTGTCTCGATGCGTACAAGGGAATGAAATTGTATGAAATACTGTTAAAGGGAGTTTGTAGAAATATTTATATACGAGTCCCACTCACACATACTCACTCTATCATATCAGATAAATTTCAACCACAACAAACATTTTTATTGTACAAAAAATTTCCTTGTTACAAGCAGGACGTGAACCCTTCCTGGTGAAGAGTGCCCAAGTTGCTGTTGTTGTTCTACAACCTAGAAATTTCTTCTCGTGCAGAAATAAAATTCTACAAGTCCTAAGAGTCACTTGATCTACGACAACACAGTAAGATTCATCATCCCTGAAGGAAATATTCCAATTCATCAGAGTTCTACCCACCGACATGGAATTTAAAATGTTTGGATAAGTAGCAAAAAACACGTCACTGGCAAAAATGGTAACTCTGAATTGATTTTCTACAGGATTATTTTGATGTTGCCTTGGAATGAATAAAGTACCATTGACTTCTGATGTGATGGTCCGCAAGGTAGCAGACCACGTATGAATCATGAAGTCTTGCATACCTCTAAAAATACTTAATACAGTTTAACAAATAGATTCCAAGTTGCCGTGCGTCTGTTCAGTAATAGATCACAGAGGACGTCAAAATGTGGTAAGAACAAAAAAAGTGGCACACGAGGTGCTGGCGAGTGTGTCACTGATGTTCTTACCACATTTTGACGTCCTCTGTGATCTATTACTGAACAGACGCACGGTAACTTGGAATCTATTTGTTTTATATAATAAAGAATTTTAAAAAGTTTTAATGACGTCATCTATACGTCTGTCCTCCAATAGATCATAGGTGAGAACCAATCAAAACGCGTGCATAACTGAGCTTATTATATAAAAATGGTTTGAACCCGGGGGTATCATGTAATAGTGTAGTTTGTAATGGCAAGCAAAAGTTCAACCGAACAAGACGAAGAAGCGACAACGAAAGAAGTGCCAAGGTCGATTGTCATATATACAGAAGAAGAAATAAATACCTTTAATCGCGATATTAAACTTTCAGTGCTTTCCCTTGGACACCTCATCTCTTTCAGTTTTGCCACCAAAGAGCTAAAAGGTGTAAATTATTTTCGTTCTTGAGCAAATGATTTGTAAATTTGAAAAATACGTTAAAGATAAACGGCTTGTAAATTCAATGAAATATCACTATTATCCTTAAGACAGCGTGAGGCTTCTTTGAGAAGTCTGAAAACAATTGAAGAAACAAGCACAAGGTACAAATAAAGTTGTTGAAGATTCAAACGTGTACGACTGACCTTGCTTCCTATTCGCTGACGTAATGACAGTTGACTTTGAAATGGCTTTCTGGGGGCGCGCGCTCAGGATAAAAACAAACAATACTATTAATGTATGTTTTTTTCTTATTTTAATTCAGTTATGCGATTCAAGAAAAGCGATTCGTGTGATATGGTTTTTAGCGTGAAATTTAACGTGGATTTCACTCGTCAGGCAGTGAATTTTTCTATAATACTCCTTTCTTTGAAAAAAAGGTACATGGGAAAGAGAGAAAAATGTAAAAATTGAAATAAATGTCCTTTCTTTCTGGTATGATACTGAGTCTGAATCTATCAAAATGTTGCCAAATAATGGCCGTTTTTATACTAGAGACGCATTATCCGTCTGGACGAACTTGGGCAAACATTTGTAGTTCGTCTGGTTATGCGTCTCTCGTGTAAAGACGGGCACAAGACGCATTATACGTCTAGACGAACTTTCATTTGAAATGCGTCTTGAACGACGCACTTCGAAAGGTAGTTCGTCTGGACGCATAATGCGTCTTTGTGTGTAAAGACGGGCAATGGACGAATAACGTTAAGAAATGAGACCCTGTCGGAAAAAAGCCAGCGGTTATCCGCCCAAGAAAACAACATGGCGGAGTCAAGTGCAAAAGAGCGAAGTCGACCATGGACAGAAACAGAGCTCAAGTACTTCGCCCTTGTTCTGGCAGACGAAACAAACGAGTTTGCTTACAAACTGGACACGCTTGCGTTGAAGAAGACTGCAAACAAACCTGTCTTCGAGGATATAAAGAAAGCCTCTGAGGAGCGCATATCCTCCGAAGAATTTAAAGAAGAAA